AACCTTTTTATATGCAAATCACAAGCTCAAGGTGGGCTCGTCATTTCATGGAGCATCACTTGGTTTTCATTATGTAGTACTTTCTCAAATATTATGCAAGTTATTGTGAAAAATCTAATCTTTTCAAGGACAAATTAATTTCAACCTCCAATTTAATTGCTGCAAAAACTTATTTTTGTGAACCACAAGTCTGTTCCCATTTCATGTTTACTAATAACTGTCCCAGCCATCTTGGCCTATATTCTGTGTGCTGTGTTATTTCCTCTTTTCTGTCTCATAAATCATAGGAGAACAGCAAAGGGCTGTGCAGTTGATGAATGGCTCCAGCCTTCCATTGTTCCGGTTCTGCTGAGCCCTATTGATCTCGCACACATGCATGCTCGGTCACACACATCGCCATAGGTGCATCCTCATAAATGCAAATAAGGTCACATATATTCACACAGATAAACACAGGCTTACACACTCACACACCATTCCCCCACACAGAACAGTCTCTCGTGTTAAAGCTGCTCTCAGATAATGAGAATCCCTTCTGTTTGTGAGGAGGTGTGAAAGTGGAAAATCAATAAAATCCTGAGGGAAAAATAGGATGTTTCTTAGTCTACATTAGATAAAGCCCAACACACACACACACACTGAGAGAGGCAGTGTCACTAACACACAAACTGCATCGCACTGCTATGCAAAGGCCTGTAATGAAAAATACCCGCTGCCTATTTCTTGTTTCTGCCCCTTTAACACCACCTGAATTTGCAGAAAACCTTATTGACTCTATTTGTCATTTTTATTCAGGCGAATAAAACTCAGAATGGACTGACACACATTAATTCATCATAACTGAGTTCTGCTGAGAGAGAACTTGGCTTTTGGGTTCCCTCACAGACTTATCTCCAATTTCCAAAACTCTGTTCACACTTCAATTTCATGCTGTACCAGCACCAAGGATCTGAAGTGAGTCATTTATCAAACCAAAACAAAAACAAAGTGTGATTTTTATATTACAGCAAAAAAAAAAAAAATTGTTAATGGTTTTCCTCAATTTCAGAGCAGCAGGCAGTTGAGGAGGGACAACAAAACCCAAACCAACCAGAACACAACCTAGGTTTGTAGATGAACCTTTGAGATTGAGAGTAAATTCCAAAGAAGAGATTCTCAGATTGAGCCTTTTACAGTCAGTGCCATCAGACAGTGTGAACAGGGAATATGGAGTTCTCACCAATAGGAGTATAATGTACAGATTGTCAGATAAAGCACATTAATGGTCAGATGCAGAAGTCATGATCAGACTTTGTAAGTCGTCATATTAGCAAAACTTATTTGTCAGAGTGTGTTCTCTAGTGTCAAAATGCTGCCTGCCTTGTTTTCTTGAAATTATCAGCTTGTAAACAGACTTTTACTCACCAGTTAATTAGACCTTTAAGTGTTATTTAGGCTTGTATAGTAGAGGCTCAAGAGAATCCTTGCAGCTTACTTGGCAATTAAAAGTTAAGCTCTCGATATGTCGCCAAAATGGTGACATATCGTGTTTTCTGTTTTGTGTAAACACAACCTTTATCTGATGCTAAATGCTTGGTGCACAGGGAGGATACAAGATAAGAGAAGGGTTGAGAAGAATGAAACATGGCTGCTTTGGTATTTAATCATGCTTACTCTTAGTTACTTATCACTGCCCCTTAAATGTTTTCACCACTCCTGCCTGTTGGGATTGAGTCCTCTTGAGACAGCAGCTCTGAAGACTCCATGCAATCAATACTTGGTGCCAGCTGAGTTCTGGGGGCAATAGACAGCCATGTCGGTTCTCACACTTCTAATAAATGGCTGGATGAAGCCCGGTGGATTGAGAGAGAAAAATTCTTCAAGTCAATGGGTTTTTTTCATGATGAGACGGTGACTCAACTGCTTTTGTCATTTGGCCTCATTCTAATTTAAGTGATGGGAAAATATGGCAGGAACCTGCTTCTCTTTTGGGCCACAGTGATGTATTGCATTATTTCTGTCATATCAAAGTGGGGCAGATTAAAGTGATTGATCTGACTGATGATGAGGCCGCATTTAAGCATTATTCAACAGCGTATGACAACAGTGTCTCCTGTCTGGTACATACTGTAGATAGATGAGTCAGAAATATCGGATAAAAGTAGAAAACATTTCAATTGTGTGGATGCCTACAAGATTAGCAGCTGCTACAGCAGAAGCTAATAAGGAGGATCTAATACAATAAGCAATAAACAATTCATTTTCTGTCACTTTTTATATTCTGAGATCCAGAAAAATGCATTGTTGTTTATACACGAGATCTATAGTCTCTAAAACTCCTAATATTGCTTGTTCCTTTTAATTCTTACGACAAATATCAACAACCATGGATCACAACAGGGTGTGACATTTTGTAAGAGCACAAAATAATGGCAAAGTTCAAGTGAAAGGAAATGGCTGCTTTCACCTTACAAAAGAATGACAACATTCAGCCCAGAGTTTAAGGTGTTTCCCTAGTGTTAACATAGGCCTATTATATATTAACATATTAACCCATGAGCCCATACATATGTTAGCCGAGTTGTGCGAGGGCTAAGAGTGACTTGGTTTTCTCTACAATCAATAACTACACCAGGTTTTCCAGCGATTAGTTATTTCTGTTTGCCTAAAGGCGAGAGGATCACAGGAGTATCAGCAGGGAGAAGGCCGACTGGAGAGATCAGTGTTTGTCTAGAAGGAAACCAGAAGTATGTTTTCTACAGTTTGAGACAGTTAATTGGTTGGTTGCTGCAGAAAAAGCATCAAAGCCGACACAAGAACACAGAGGCGTGAATACTGAGACAGAGCCCTATTGTTTGACCCCCCCCCGCCCCCCCCCCGTGCCTTCACCTCAGTAAATCACCAATGTGACTGACCTTCACACATCTGATACTTGTTGGAGCTCATTAGGAAAGTTTTATGACTTTTTTTTTTCAGTCCATGTTATTTTCTTTCGAAAACTCTTTCTCTATTTCCTGATGAGCATTTCTCATACCCCAAGCGTGTCTAATAATGTCTTTTTGGTTGTACAAACGAATATTAGCGACTTTTCTGTCTGTAAGTACTGCGTAGAGATTCAACTTTTGTTAGTTAAACTCTGTTTATGAACCTACCAAGACCAATACAAAATTTACAAATGCTTAAATTTAAAACTAGGTATACTACCTCTGCTACCACTGGTCATTGATATACATAGAAGTTGGTAAGTTATGTACAAATATTAGTGTCATATGACATCTGAGAATGATTCAGCAGCAAGTGTTTGGATGGAGGTTTCAGTGAGAAAAGTAATGCAGTTGAGGCAGGAGTTGGCTCACTGATGAGCACAGGAGGATCATTGAAAGCCTTTAATTAAATCCTAAAACATCCCCCGTATGAGTGATTAATAGAAAACAAACGTGGTGGTTAATCACCAAAGCCATTCATCTTCTACGGAGAGGATCCTCATCTCTGCCAGTTACCTCCTGTCTTGCAGTAGGATAGTTGATGTTTTTGTAGCAAAAAGAGGATTTTGCAAAACCTGTGAAATGAGATAACAGCTGTGACAATGCTCATGGGGAAATTAGAAAAAGAGAGAACATTTCATTACGGCCCCACAAATGCTCAAGGAGCTGCGGATGAAGGCAATGACAGACCTGAATGTGACAACGGACATACTGTGTGTTAGCATATATACTGAACGTGTCAGCAGTTTCATTTTTTTCCCACAGCGCTAATAGAAGTGCCGTTACTGAGATGAACAATTGTCTGTTGTTGTGTCAGCAACATGAGCTGCTGGCTGAACTGAAGAGTGGAGTAGGAAGCTTGTAATGTGACACTGACTCCTGACTGGAAAGGAGGAGGTGAGCAGGTGATGGGAGGGGAAAGCAGACAGAATGAAGGAAAGAAGGCAGATGTTTTTGTTTTTGTGTTGTTGTTCTTTTCTTTGCGTTTACAGGCTGAAGTCTGATGTAATGAAGTGGTTTATTTTGCCATTTTTCTGCATAATTTGATCCAAAGTATTTAACATGAAAAGATTTCCCTGAGTTGATACTTGGTGATTAAAGCTTTCCTCCCAGAAAGAACATTTGGATTTTGGCATTTGCTCTCATTTTAACCTGTATTAACCTCCGTTGGGATTGTGCATGTGGGAGTGTGTGCATGTGTGTGAATACACACACCTGTAAGAGATGGAGCAGACTTCATTATGTGGTGTATCATTTCCACTGAACTCACAGCGATAAACTCAATTTCACAGAACCCTGAAGAGGAAATGATCCTGTCTTGTGTCTTCAGCCTTAAACCAATGTAATTATCTCTAGTCTTACACTGTTACTTCACAGTTCAGTGACTGAAGCTACATGGCGCATCCAGTCTGACACTTATTTTACTCTGCATCCTCCCATCACACATAGGTGATAGCTCTTTAACTTTAGTGTCACAGTGTCAAAGAATTGTGATTAGATTGCAATGAAGTAATTTTATTTTCATCCATACTATGTCAGATGATTTTATTGCTTGAAAATATGTTCATATGAAAGCAGAAAAAAACAGTTTTTCACACCCTTTATCTTTGCCTCCTTTTCGTTGTGTCTCGTTGTCATCACACACGCACACACACACACACACACACACACACACACACACACACACACATCCACACACATACACAAACCATTTATAATAAGCGCGCAGGCAGGCCTCCTCTAAGGGCCAATTGGCACCTTTGTCCCCATCTGTGTCTCACTCTGAGGAAATGGCGACAAGGGAGACGCTCTTTACTCCTCTTCCTCTTTGACTCCCTTTAATCTCCTCTGACACATTGCTAAAATTTTCATCCTCACTCCCCCTCTCTCTGTTTTTTTCCTACTTTTCTTACTGTGTCCAAAAGATCCTGACTGACAGACCTTCCCATCTGAGACCTATCTGACATTTATGCTGCTTTTTTCCCTCTGTGGAAAAACTGGCCAAAGGAGATTCATTTTGTCCCCTTTTCTTTTCAGGGCAGTTGGAAATTGCACCACCTACTGCAGCACAGTTGAGATATGGTAAGAGGTCTTTTTTGAAATTTTGATTTGTATGTGTATTTCATTATTTTTGTTTATAGAGGGTTGGGGTGATTAAATTAGCACATAGATCTGAAAAATGCTTATTAACCTTGCAACAAGACAGCCTGGATTGATGTCCCTCATTTAGCCTTCAATCAACCAGGATGATTAATGGTCAGTCTTAATTATAATTACTGAGCATTACTGAGGATTATTTTGGTTCATACTGCATACTTTGTTTCCATGATGCCCCCAAAGCAAAGGAAAACACATGCTGTATATGGACCTGGCTAATAGGAACATGTTTTCCATGAACAGATATTGCATTAGGTATTGAGCCTGAAACAAATTGGTAACTAATGATAGAATGACAAATAGAAAACAGTCTAACAGCGTGTGACAAGCTTTAAAATTTAAATTTAAAATACATAATCCTTTGATCAGCAGGTTTTTTTTGATTGAGTAATAAATATTTAAGATAAGATAAGATAAGATAAATAAGTATAGCCAAGTGTAAACTGCACTTATTTTAAATCAGACTTCCACAGATAAGAACATATTGGTGTATGGCGTGATTCCTCTCTGTCATATGAGCTAGATCATCACTGAACATGTTCTGGAAAACGAGTGGGAACCCTGAGACTGAACATTAAAGGAATGTGTAGCAAGTATGTTCGCATGTTTGTGATGCGAGTGAGTTTCTGTCTAAAGAGGCTCATTACAGAACGATGTGTTTCAGATCAATTGTTACTACAGATGGAAGGTCAAACACACACATGCAATCCACCTGCACACAAAAACACAAGAGGACTTATGCAGGCATCCTTCAGCCTACGGTGCTGAATTACTGACATGACCTCAGAGGCTTTCCAACCTTCTCTTCCTGTTGCTGCTGTTGGGACGTCCACTGGACGTAGTTCATATCATCTTGTTTTTTTTTTTCACAGTATACATTTATCAGTGACATCCTTGTGACTATAGGCAAAGACAGAGACAGCTCAGTTCTTTCTCTTGCTGTGATGAAATGTTGTTTTTCCTGCTCTGGCTCCTCAGTAAAGATAACACACCGAGTGAAACTTTAAAGGAAACGTAGACTCAGCCGGCTGACAGTGATGAACACAGCACACATGAATTTCCTCAGCACAGCAAAGCCTTTGTGTTGTGCGTGTTGTTGCCTCTTTTTTTTTTATCTTACTGGGAGCTGCACATGTTGATGACTTCTGTGGAAAAAATGTCATGACTTTTCATCACTGTAAAAACAGATCCGTTCAACACCTGACTCATAACACTCTGACCTAAAGATCATGAAAGAAGCTGGATCACTGATTGAGTGGTGAAATCTTGTGAATATTCTTAGTTTTTGCCGACCAAACTGAGTGTGTGAATGCAGTTTGGAGCAAATTATCTCAACCCTGGTCTCATATATGACGATATATAAAATGATACCCGACTATGAGCAGTGACTCTGAAACAGCTTTTAACATCACTCTCTAGAAACTGTACAATGTCGCCCAAACAGCTTTACAATTGTCATTGGAACTAACATAGCCAGAAGAATCCATTTTTAATTTTTTTTTTTGTTTGGTGAAAACAATGAACACTGAAAGCCATTTTGTCCTCAAAGGGCTTTAATGTGTAAACAGGTTATTGTAGCCTGGAAGAACTGCAACATGGGAGATAAAGGGTTCTTGTCATCAAAGCTGTATGGACAGTTTCTGAGTAGCAACATAACCTTGCTGTCACTACATTGCACCAGTTAATGATGATTTTATAAAAGGGTACGAGAGAAACAAGAGATAAAAGGTCCTAACAAATGTCTTCTGTCACTCACTGCAGAGACTTGATATCACCCTTATGTTCTAGTTTTATTTGTGCAGAGAAGCATCCACACCAAACGCCAAGATTTGACTTGACACGTTTCTGTACGGAGAGATGGAGTTCTCTTCAAAATTCACAGTTACCCCTGTAGTATTAAAGTAGTCTGTGTTTCACATATGAGCGAGTAGGTGTTTTGTGTAGCGAGGCTCAAACTGCAGCAGAGAGACAGCTGTAGAGAAGAAATTAAGTGTTCAGGAACGCTTGTGCTTTAAGCCAACACTTTTCTGCAGATCAGTTACTTGAACTAGACTGAACTTCACTTGAACTTCAACTAAAAGACACTGGACTTTCCTCAGGCTGTGGATGACATTTGAAACAGCACCAACAGTACATTACACTGTAAATTACATCTACGCACACACACACAAACAGGGATAAAAACATTATGTAGAAATATTTACATTCCAATAATTTTTTTTTTTTTTTTTTGCTCTGAAAAAGATGTTTGATATTAATTACACTTTTTACACAAAATATCAAAGTTGAACTTCAGTCTTTTTTCATTGTCACAGATGAAATCCTTTTTCAGTTTAGGATTTAAGGCTTTATTTATGTTTCTCTGCTGCTTGTGAGTTTTAGCTTAATGTATTATCTCACACTTACATATACCTTGTTTTATAAGTCATATACTGAGCCTAAAGGTTAGGAAATTGGAAAATATGTTCTTTATCTTGTGGCTTTGTACAACATTGGCACAACTTAGCTAAACTGAGGTTATGTTAGCGGTTGAGGTTAAACATAGCTACCGCTACCTCGGACATTTAGACTGATCTTATAAAGCATTACGTTCATTAATAATATGTTTTCTGCGACATTTTGTGCCAAGAACATGGATTCAACTCAACTCTGCATACTACAGTCTATTGCAGCTGTATTTGTTGCATGTTTCCACACTTTCATCTCTTATAGCAGCATATAAAAAGTATATACGAATAATAATCGTATCTATGAATAGTCTCTAGACAACAACAGCTTCATAGAATTAATTTTCTTTTAAGTACACAAATGTTTTATGTCTAGTGAAACAATGCTTTTATATCTTGTATCTTCTGTGTTTGTTTTCATTATGTTCTGCAAGGCTTGATTATGTCTAATGTATGTAATCTAATCTGCATACCCTCTTTATTTTATCTGTTGGGGATTTAGTGTTTGTGTTTGTTATTTTACAGTTTTGCTGCACAATGCACTCCCTTTTGTTGGATTCGGATTTCTGGACAACTGCATCATGATTGTTGCTGTAAGTATCAGCTTCATGCAGAGCTGTGGCCGCCTGCAGCTCAGTGCGTATAGAGATTTATTCAGTGTTCGGAGTTTGATTTCCACAGGGGGTAACTGTGCATAAAGAATATGTTGTATGTGCTCACGTCACTGCAGGAAACTTTGGACAGAAGCATCTAGGGAAAACGAGAAAAATGAATCATTGAATTGTTTGTTTGATGCTACTATAAATTTCCTGTTTTCTCTCTGTCATTGTACAGCAAACTGTCTTTCATCTCTGTTTCTCTGTGTTCTTTTCTCTTTGTATTTTCATTCAGTACATTGCTCTGTAGGGAATCTTTGCAAAGTTGCTCAGATAATGAAATCTAAACCCAGGGGGAAGTGAATGGGGGAAGAGAATGAAAAGTAATCAATTTTCTGACTTAATTCAAAGTCTGATTGCATAGCGGGGTTATTTATTTTTAACACAAGATGATGAATTCTTATGGGGCTTTCGACAGGGATGTAGGAAGAGAAATTGTGTGAAAAAAAATGTGTACTAAAGAGAATAAATCTTAATGGAACATTATGAAATGCCTTGCTTTGCCCCAAAACCCATATACTGTAAGAAAAAATAAGAATATTTAGACCACTCTACTGTTCTGCTCTTTTTAAAGAGGGTTCATCAAACCCATGAAGAATTAAATCAATACATAATCACACTTTTGGGCTGGATTCTACTGGTCTGTGAAAAGTTTGTGCATTTATTAAAATTGTATTTTAATAAACTACACAGGCCTGACTGTGTTCATGTTTCCAGAGCCTTCCCTTTATTTGTTACTTGCAGTCCAGACTGAGAGAGAAACTCATGCAACTTGAAGATCCCAGGCTGCTTTCCATTTTATATGAGGTCTACACCAAAGCCAGCAAACTGTAAACAGAGACACAGAAAGCTTCTATCTTAAAGTCTTAAAAAGCAGCATTTAAAGTCAGAAGTACAGTAGTACAGACTCTGATTAGAGACTGCAGTTGGACGGCGGTGACCATGTAACTGGCTTAAAGTTAAAAACTTTGCTATGGCATTTTGGATAAGCTATGTAAGTCAGAAAGTAAAGAGGAAAGAGAATGTTGAGAATGAAAATATCTCCATTATAGGGAGGAGGTTGTCAAAACTAACGATTGAAATAACCTGACATCATGGATCACAAACATGTTCTCCAGATTATGATGCACAGATGTTGTAAAGTTAGCATCATATAATCTGTACATTTGTGTTCATTTCCCAGGGCACGCAGATTGAGTTATCCATCGGCGTTATCCTCGGCATTTCAACTATGGCAGGTAAGAAAAATGTCAAGATCTTAATGTAATCTACTAGAAATGTTTTGAATTTTTATTTATTTCAAAAGCATGTGTCTTTGTGTGTATGTTTTTGTTCTGAATGCGCAGCGCCAGTGAGTGTATTTTCAATATTTTTTTTCTGATTGATACCCATAACCTTGATTTTTTTATTTTGCTTGACATCCTTTATTTGTCTTTTAAAAACACAAAAAATGATTGAGGATTTTTGCACAATGGTAGTAATACCTGCCCTGACAACGCAAGGGAAACGTCCATGTTGCTTGCTGTAAAGCAACTTTGGTAAATTCTGTAAATATGCTTATTGATAAATGAGTTGCATGTCCGTTGTGACATATGGTTCCATGATTTCTCCAGCTTTTTTTTTATTTTTAATTAGTCAAATTTAATTTATCATTTAATTGCTCTGGTTACAGCCAGGTTTGTTAGATTTGATAGTATTACCTCACAGACAGGCAGGTTCAGAAATACATTTTTACCTGACCAGACTCTAAGTATTGCACCCCGTTTGTGTCCCAATGAGAGTGATAAGCCAAATCACAGTGGACTCCCACAAAATTGAAATTTAAAAAACGAATAGAAAGAGGCATTTTCATTTTGAATGTCATCAGAAGACTGTCTCATCATGACACTTTGACCACTTCATTGACACTAATCCAAAAAAAATAAAGTGAGATAACATTAGAAGAAGGTGAAGCAGAGAGTAAGTGTCTGGCAGAGGGGATAACGAATTAATTATTCATGAATATAATAATACTGTTCACCAGCAGATTAAATGGGTGTAGTAATATCTACTTAGTTCAAAGACGCACATTTGCATTTTAATGTTATCACCTGTTCCATTTCAGTGTGTCTGGAAGAGACAGGTTATTATTATATTACATTTACAATGAATGTGAATGCAGACAGGAGACGAGGAATACACTGATGTTAGTCTCAGCTTTGGTGCATGATGAAGCATGAAAACCGTTCCTATTTATATCATTTGATCATTATGAACAAATGCTGAATGATTGTATCTTTTGGCAAATCCTGTGTCCATAATCACCACCATCACTCAGTGAGTATTGAAATGAATTATGCTAATGCAACTAGTATCAACAAAATCCCAATTTATATTGTTGTTGTCAATCATGTCCACAAAAACAAACTTCTACTCCTTCTACTCCTTCTACTCTTACTCTGCGGGTCTTATCTTTCCTCTTGTGATTCTGTTGTTGTTGCTGGTGGTGATATTGGTTGTGATCTTGTTGCTTTTAGCTCAAACTTTCGAACATCAAACAGACTCAGTGAACTGATGGGTCTAAAACACTTGGATGAGTCAAAGCTGATGCTGTAACAGAGCAGAGGAGGGAGAAGCCTGACACTTTCTATGCTGCGTTTCCCTGGGAGCTGGAGGGATCCAAATAACTTGACCACTGCAGACGAGAGCAAGGAGAAATTGATCCATGGTGGATAAACTGTAGAGAGGTGAAGATTTGAATCTTCACTCTGAGGAGCTTAACGTCTGTCAAAAATGCTTCTGATTTGATCTGCTCATGTAGCTTTCCATGTCAAACGAGGTTTTCAACTTGGGGATTTTGGAGAGATTGTGATCTTGATTAAGCCAAAGGAGTGATTTCAGGCCTGGTGGGATTTATAACCAGAGATTTATCAGGTTGCAAACTCTGGCGGAGAACGTGAAATTCAATTTCAGGTTGGCTTCTAGGAGTTTTACAGGCGGACCCTGTTAGATTTGATAGCGGACCCTGTTATCTCTGTGTGGCGAGATTTTTCAGACCAGGTTTGACAGTGAGTCGAAATCCCCTTAAATTAGTGATTTGAAAAAATGTATATTAACTACCCAGGAGCCCACACAGATGCCGATAGATAAAACAACAGAAGCAGCTTCTGTTCTTTTTCCGAAGCCTTTCACAGCCTCAGCCGACTTTCTATCACCCAGACTCCATTTCACAGCAGTTGTTAGTTACTCATTCCTGCTACATCAGGGACATTCGGTGGCCTGCAAATCAAAAGGCTAGAGTTATCTAACCCAGTCTAGAGTGATTTAGCACTAGTGTCAAGTCCACCAGTCACACATTTTCCTAGGAGGCAAACATATCTCAGCCGGCTCGGTTGAAGATGGAGACAGCCTCGTTAGAAAATGGTCTGCTACTGACTTGATCTAATTACATGATTTAAACAGAGGTAATGATGTGAAAACCTCCAAATAGGATTAAATCCATAAAAAAACCTACAGCTCAAGTTATTAAAACACAAAATCGCCTCACTCTGCTGAGACTCGCCTTCAAGGACCCAGATTCTTGTTATTGTATTAATATGTTTTCATACAGATCTTCTAACTTTTAAGAGCCTAATGAGGATGAGTCTGCTTGTGTTTTGTGTAGCTGTACTTGTGTTTTCTGTTGAAAAAAAAAGCTGCAGTTATAGTTAGACATTGCTCATACAAAGGTTTCCATTTCTCAGTCTCTGAACATTATGACCTACAAATTATAGCTGGTAGGTAAGCCTTGCAGACAAGAGCACGAGACACCAATAAAAAATTTCCACTGTCTCACATTTGTTATTTCACGTTGTTTCACGGCCCGTTTGTCCACCAGTAGTCACCGGTGCAGACAGTATCTCTGGTTTACCTTCACGAGCAGAAAGTTTTGGAAAAGTTGTAGTGAAAGAAAGATCATAAAGTATGTGATGAAAAGAACAGGAAATCTAAATCTTTCTTTTTTTGGCCAAATGTTCTAATATTAATTTCTATCCAGAAGCAAAATACTACCAACAAAAAAATATACAGGGAGCTGTCTCTTATATGGTAATCAGTGTGTGTGGATGTGGCTGAATCTGATGCAGAGCTCAGTGAGAGGCAGAGAGAACAGTGACTTGTGGCAGATAGCTGATCTTGGCTTGTAATTAAATTTGAGCAGCTGGACCACAGAATCGAGCCTGTGGGGATCTCCATTACATCTGCCTCCTCGGGGGCTTGTACAGAGATTTGATGTGTTTTATTACCACATCATCATCTCAGTTTTAATAACCGTAAAGCTTTAACTTAACTAACCTAACTCTAAAACCTAACCAGTTCAGTTCCAGGGTCCGTCAGGCTCATCAGGTTTATCCTCTTCTTGGAGAATTCATGCTGCCTGCTCATACAAGTCCATGAGGTCCTCACACAGTTCTCCATACTGAAACATTTTCATTTGTACTGTTTCCAGTTCATTAAAATAATCAGTTTGGCTGATATTAAGGCCAGTGCAATATTTGGTTGCTCATTTTCACCCCTGATGTACTAGTTATTGGACAACATCTGATATCAGTATTAAAGAGACATGACTAATTTTCAGTAATATCCAACCAGAACTTAACAAGAGGACAGTGCCATAACAGATGCATTAGTGTGCTGTCTACTTCACAACCATGCCAACACAGTTTGGATAATGTGTGATCAATCTTCTTCAATGTGAGGGCATTTAAAGTTAAGTAGCATCCTCATTATTGTAGAGAGAAATTTTGACTCATGTTCATTCCTCTCTATCTAAATGCCGAAATGTTTATTTTACTGTGTGCTGCAGCCAGTTATTTAGTTTAATTTGTTGTGTGGTGCACATACACATGCCCAGCCCACTTTGACTTTCAAATCACCTAAAAAGTACCATTGTTGTAGTGAATATGACTTATTACATTGCAAACAAAGAAGAACCAAATCTGCCACAACAGTTCCCTGTTTAATGCACAGCTCAAGTTTTCAAATCTTTAATCATCCATCCAGAAAAACTGAAGGAGATCGTACTTAAATGTAAAAAATATAACATGGAATTCATCATCAATCTCATTTAAATCACGTAACAATTTCTCCTCATGGAGACCATCTTATTCAACGAATTACAGTCTGAGGCTGACTGAGATCCTGCCCAGGGCAAACATTTTTTGTCCTGTTGAAAATACCAGAACAATCTCCTTATTTAGCACAAATCTACTGTGTGTTTTGGCACCAACTGATTGGCTAAGAATTACAAACTTGCAGACTTCCCTTGTTGTTACCCTGCCTCTCTCATCCAAAGCTCTTCTCGCAGTACAACAAGCTTACATCGCTGATTACAGCCAAATACAACTAACCCACAACTTATTAACATTGATGCTTTGTTGCAGCAGGCAGGCAGGCAAGTCTCTCCTCAGTCTCTCCATACGTATGTCTGCTGGGAGTAAACAGTAAACAACACTTTTTCACATCGTGGCACATAGAAATTTTCCCTAATTAGACTGCAACACTTGAGTCTTATCTGAATTCCTCTGTGCTGATTAACGTGGGTGCTTTGTTCAGACGTATGAGTTTGTCAGTTGGCAGAAAGTAACTGCAGCCAGTGGACACGTGTTTGGATATGTTATTTACTGTTTGCAACCATTACCACATTTACATCTGACATTAAAATGCATTTAGGGTGATCAGATTGCAATCAGATAGTGCAGGTGTAAATGCATCCAAGATGCACTGAGCATGAATTGTGATCTGATTGGCCAGGAACACATTGTTACCACATTGAACACAAGTGTAAATGCAATTGCGTTATAAATTCAGATACAACCACCCAGTCTTCTAACAGATTTACATCTGGCATTAAAATGTGTCTCATATCCAGATTGTAAATGGAGTCCTTGTTGCTACACCAGCTCAAAGATCAGACTGAAGCACTGAACACTTCCTGCCAGAGTTAGATGGAGATTGAGCCTTAGCAGAGATGGCAATGCTGCTTTCAGTTCCCCGGAGGGTTTCTGTGTTCTGAACAATACTCTGATCTCAGGGTCATGTACAATAGAGGGAACACAAGCAAAGCAGTTTTTATTCTCTCTTTTAGGAGCAGCTACTACAGGAACAGAAAGCAGAATCCTTAAGGCAATGTCTCCTGACTCCTGCTCTCCTACTCTCTCCACTACTAACTACTTAGCTTAGTGACAGAGACCAGAAAATATTCAGGCATAGTGACACTTGGTTCCTCTCCGTGTTCCTGTTTCATTAGTCATTTCACCGTCCCCTCATCCTCTTCTCCTTGGGCACTTTGTCAAGTGCTACTCTGCTACTCTGCATTATTCATGTGAAGTTATGAGGCTCAGGGAGCGAGTCAACAGTGATATGGGCTTTAGCAGTGCATCTGCCTCATTAGTCAGCCCACAATGCACTGTGGTTGCCCATCATGTCCTGTGCAACATGGTAGAGTTAAGCAGTGTGTGGTTATTTTTAAAAGAATTACTGACCCATAATTGATTTTATATTTAGAAATAATTATTGGCCTTTATGGTTATTCATAGGATAAATAATCAATAATAAATTACTGGTTCAAACATGCTGCCTCTTGCTTCTTGCTCCTGTCCTCTGTAATGCAAGAGGCCACTCAGAGACTGATGTTGTAATCTCGTCAATCACCAAAGGGAAGTAGAGGAAGGCAGGTGAAGATAATTGAGGTGCTTGTCCCTCTCCAGCTCCTCACCCTCAGTTACAGATACATGCTTTAATAAAGGCGTGTCGCTATAGTTCGAACAGGACACTGTATTTCTGCTGCTGTATGTAGACTACCCCTACCATGTTTGTACATTGTGTGCAGCTCACCAGCTTTTATCCAATACACCTTTAGACCTAATGTCATAAAGCGTGACACAAATTACATGTCACTCTGACATACACATACACAAAGGCAAACACATTGGGTCTATTATCCCACTTTGTGTCAGATGGTTCTTTGCCTCTGTGTCAGCCATTACACCTGACGTATATTGTTATTGAATGGACTAAATTTGGTAACCTTTCGGTGTGAATGATCCAGCTACATGCCTGTGAACGGCAGACAAACAAAAAGTGTGTCATCTTTTTTTCTTTCACATGATAAGAAATTCAGTCTCCAGACAAACACATTCTGTGTCTTGTGCCTTTTGGCTGTCCTCGACACAAACCTCAACTTCCTAACTCATTTTGAGATCATGTCTCTTTCTCTTCCCACATTTTCTGCAGCTGCTGCCCTTGGCAACCTGGTGTCTGATCTGGCAGGACTAGGGTAAGAATTTCACACATTAACACACCAGAACACACATACTCACACACAAGCACAGGTAGATATTATTCTTGATAGTTCCTGCAAATCATGGCAGGTTGTTGGAGGATAGAAATTCTCATAATTGATCATTATAACAATTATAACCTTTTTTAATGACTTATTTATGACATTAAAAGGTAGAGGTTTACCATTCCACTCTACTCCCTTTAGTGAAGGCTATGTCATTAAATTGTTTAGTATTAAACAGTAATTATTTAATTCAGTCTAGAGGAAGATCAGCCTGATCAGCAAGCAAGAAAATGAAATGCAGCCACCAGAGGTTTGTGTCCCTGAGGAAAGAAGGCTGTGGCTTTGCAAAGCATAAAAGGGATATTACCATGAACAGGAAAAGCCTAATAATTTAAACCTATTAGTGTCGTTTTATTAAATCAAAACGGTCTGAGCAAGGTGTGTATAAATGAGGAAAGGATTATGCAGCTTGCCTTAACCGTCCATTTCTGCTCTGGTCCAGTAATGTTCCAGCTTGTTTAATTAAACATTGTGTATTGTGTGTGTTAAACTAGTTATTAACAAATGTAGAAGGTAACCATGATGTTGACCATCCCACAGATCATGTTCCCAACCTATATGTAGTTATAGCTACATAGCCAACTTTAGCATTAACAGCTGTTTACTTACCAGTCTAGAGGAAACGCTGCAAGTTCAGCGTCAAACTTTACTCGCCAAGAGCTGACACCAATGTTAGCTCTTGTTTTCCTTTCTTCATTTCTGTCACTTCATTTCCTCTCCTGAAGTTAGCGTGCTAACCAGCCAGCATTTTTATGTTCTATTCATTTATTTAATCATACTGGGATTATACTGGATCTTGTTGTACTGGGAGTTGGGAGGATTTTAACCAGCATTATTTACTGCTGTTCTGTAAGCAGTCCAGGTCAAATCAGTCTGGTGAACATGTAATGTACTGAGACAAACTCAGGGTTTGTGCGGTATAGAAGGAAGTATGCATTTTATCCATTATCCTGGTTCTAATACCAGTATTATGCTCTCTTTAAAAAGGGGATGTACAGTACATTTTATAGCTGACATACTAAAAGCCCCAATTTCACAAGATGTAAAAAAAATATCCAACGTCACTAGAAGTAGTCATTATTGAGCCAGGATTGTCTTCTATTGATTGTATTGTTTTGATTCTTCTCCTCTGGCTTCCTTCATTTTTACTTTTTTGTTGTCACAAAGTAAAACAAAACCATGTCCAAAATTATGCTGTGAAAATGAATCAAAACAACAACTACCAGTTCTGACTCTAGCTGCCCAACACAGTTGTGTGCAGCATGTGATCAGGTTTGATCAATAGAAGCATAATGAGCTCTATGAGAACTGGAAGCTGATTGTTTTTCCTGCCAGAAAAAACAGCATTGTATCATAGATCCTTTCAGATGATTTTAACAGCTGATGGGGTTCAATGAGCTGATTCATGACTATTTTCCACCTCAGAGCCTCCTAGTGGCGACAGGGATCATTGTCAGGTAAACCTGCTACACGGCCTAAACCAAACAGAATATTTATAGTAGCCCTCCAACCATGTATAATCAACATACCGTTACAAATTCTTGCTCCCATTTAAATACAGTAAATCAGAGAATACACAGGTAAACACCACTGAGACTCTGTTGTTGGCTTTGCACCGTTTCAGTGTGATTGATTACCCAAGTTGTTGTGGCCTCCGCAAATGCCCTCAGCAGACACACTCATATTTCTGCGTCCATGTGTGCGTCTGTGTTTGCCAATCAATCATAATTGTAAAGCGGAGCCCATGTGGCCAGTTTGTCAAGGTGAGAGTCGATTACACCAGACAAGAGAGGTTTCTTTTTTTTATTTTGATAGATTTACACCAGTGAATGTGGAGGCTGTTTGTCAGTAGTGGCGCTCCTGCAGGTGTCCTTCAAGTGTACACGTATAAACCCTGTGCTTTAGATTACTCTGGGAATCGGTGGCACTTAAGTGGCAGATGAGAGGGTGATACATTCATGGAGGAGGAGGCTTAATAGATTGTTGCTGAGGTTGAGGGTAAACTCTGATCAGCAGTTGACAGGATGAAGAGACCCCAGATGCTTCTTTGCTGCAAACCTGTAGCAGTATTGGTATTTAGTTTGCTCAGATCCACAATGTCCAATTGCAGGTGAACTTCTTGAAAAGTGAATGGTGTTTTGGAGTAGCTTTTGCTCTTCCAGGTTAGAGGTAGTTGGTGACATGGCAGAGTAAAAATCTGATTCCTGCGTCTTTAATTTTTGCTTAGAATGATTAACCTATCATAATTATACTAACTATGTAGTAAGGCTACAACTAACTGTGATTTTCATCTGCCTTCTCCATTGATACAATGTTCAGAATTGACCAGTTACTTTTGCTTTTGCTTAGCAATTTACATTAATGATAAATAAATGATTAAATTTGTTGCAGATGATTTTCCTGTTGATTGAATGCAGCTCTAGTGACAAAATAATGAATTATGAGTCTGATGTTGTACCCATACATTTGCATATTTTCTAGGTTGTTTGCTATAATTGGCTTGGATTACATTCTCACTCCTTACAAACAGCGGCGCAGTTCTCTTGGAAGAAGATCAAGTTCCCCATTTTCCGACAATCTGGCTGTAGAGACGTTTAGTTAGAATTGTTCTCACCTGCCTAAATGAGCCAAGTTAAAGCTCAAGAGGCTGATTAAATAGTGGCTAATATTCTTGGTGTGAACCTCCATTTAGTTTCCATCTGCTGGAAAGACAAAAAAAAACTTCATTTGTCTTTCAGAGAACTTTCATTTTGGTTTAATTCAATCAGAATATGACAAAGGCTGTCACACAGAAACCCCCCCAGCGCATGTGCCAGTGCTGTACCTTTAAATCACACTGGATGGACTGGAGAAAGAAATTTGTATAAATAAATACATTTCCCACATTACTGATATTTTCTATTAATACTACATTAAATCAAAAGTATAATGAATAAATTCCAGGTATATTTCTTTACCATCAATCTGTGACTAAGATTGTTATAGAGCATTTCATGTAATTTCCACTTCTGTGCTGACAGTTAATGGACAGAGACAGGAGACAGGTGAGAGCAGGGCAGAATGAAGGCGACATGACAAATGAAGAAGATGTCAAACAGACAGAAACCCCAGTGTATGCAAACATTAACCTGCTGATCCACCAGAACTCACGGTGAAAGTTGAACACCCAACATGCCTTTCTACAAAGGCACGTTTTCTCAGTCCTGTAAGTGAACAGCACAAATAGATGTAGCTGTCACTACACCATGCCCCTCTAGAGTCCTTTTGGTCAATATTGTAGCGATTATGTTGCGATGATTGTTTGTAAATCCTCCCACTCAACGTCTGTTTTCCTCATTTAAGAGACACTGACTGAGCTCTGCTGCTCTGTCTCTCTGCTCTTCTATAGAATTTCCCATATGAGTGCGTGTGTGTGTGTGTGTCTGTGTGTGTTAGTGCCTTTGGTGAGCAAGCTGTGCAACTATGTTCATATATGTGTTTGTGTGTGTGGGTTCATGCGTAGGTGAATTCGTAACATTTTCCTGCATGTTTGCAGCAAACCAGCCGATTCTTGGTGAAGGCCATAATTTAGCTCGTGAGTCACTCTGAGCGTTCGGCCGGTTGTTACTGCCGCTCCTGCCCGTCTTGGTCTCCGCGGCTGTCTGCGTTTCCTATGGCCACAATGCATCAGTGGCTTTCTGGGGCAGACGAGCAACCCTGAAAAGCATTAATGCATTAGGTAAAGTTAGAGAAAACAGGACAGAAACTTGGAGAAGACTCGGGGGAATAAAAACTGGGGACCTGCATTTGAATCCTAGTGGGTCTCTACATTACAACCTTTGCAGTCTGGGATAAATTATAGAATATCACATGACCTTGTATTATAAAAAGCAGTTTAAGGCAATAAATGAATGGATGATTGATAGTTCAACTTTTTTTCAGGATTAACATATAGTGTGATACTTCATTGATCCCCTCAGGGAAAATCTCGTTTTGCTTGTCTTCCTTTAAAGAGGTTTAAAGCCAGTATCTGCTCCTGAGAGGATTCAGTGTTTTGCTCAAGGATGCTTCAGTACGGCGGATGTTTGTTCAAATTATGGCTTAATCTGAGTTTATCCTATTGAAGGATATGTCATTGTGTCAGCAGTATCATTTTAAAACACACCATATTTACCATCAACTGTATCATAAATCGCTGTAACATTTTTGTTCCTTTATAGGTTATCTTTCATCACTATACTTTCAGTAAATTTCATCATTTCAGTTTTTGAAAACTGCCGTGTTTTGCTCACTGATGCAGACCTGATTTCTTTTGCCTTCTGCTGTTGCAAGTGTGTGAAATACTTGGACAGAATTTGACTTGAAGGCAGGAGTGTCTGTGTCATTGTGCAGTATGCTCCGCACTAATCAGACGTCTTATACAGCAGGCAGTATTTGGATTGATAAGGAGTTTATGTTTCATAGATCCAAAGAGAAAACAAAACAGTTGAAACAAATGCAGCATGTTCCCTCATATTATGTGTCGTTTATCTCAATTTGACATTCGTTTTATGAGCAGAATAGAAAAGGAATACACGCAGTGCATTTCACTGACTGTCAAACTGGAGACGCAATCCTGCCCCCTGTTGCCAACATGGAGTTTGACAACATTATTATTCATCTGCCACTGTGCAATCAGTGTAAAAGCTGGAAAAATGATTATCTGTCCTTATTATATGTAATTTATACATAAGAAAGTTTCTTATTTCTTCTATTTTCTCTTCTATGATGAAATGCTATGGGCTTCAGGCTCACACACACACACACACACACACACACACACACACACACACACACACACAAACACACACACACACACACACACACAACCAACATTTCACACAGTCTTCTTCCTCTCCTTTTCTCCTTATCTTTCTTTTAAATATGATACTCAGTACTTATCAGTCCCTTGACTCAACAGCTCCAGCTGCAGCTTATTTGTGTGGGCAGTGAACTGAGGATCCATTAGTGCCAGTGACTGAACCAGACCTGGGCCAACATTTTGACGTGAATTCCTTTTCTCACCCTGGAACTGCAGGACATGCACATGCACAGTTTTTTAAATGTGATCCGTTTTTAGTCCTCTTGCCAGAAGCGCAGGTCTTGTGTGCTAAACATGTTCTGAACATGTTCTTTTTAGTTGCAACAACTTTCTGATTTGCCAAAAGACATCATGAAATTTCAGTTCTGTCTTGTTATTAAATTTGGATAATTTAACTATAAATATGGCCGTAAGTAATATTGCTCTTGTTGTAGTCCAGTGACTTCATCCATTTGTGGACATATGATTGATGAGTTTCAAATGTTACTGTGTAACTCAGCGAACACTGTTCTCAATCCTCTGCAATCTGTCTTCATTCTGTCAGCTGTGTAAAGTGTTGAACAGTGCTAGAAATGATTTTATTAGATCACACTGAAGGCTTCCTCTCTCTCTCTCTCTCTCTCTCTGGTATTAGAGCTGATATTTGACGTCCTGCTGGGTTTTACGACAGATGGCAGCAACAATGAGCAGATTGGAACATTAAATTGCTGATTTTATTTTGTTTGCTGTTATTATTGATTACTTAGGTCGTTAACTTTGAAGACTTTGCCCTGAGTGGGAAAGTGTCATTCCATGGGTGGTTTAATGAATCATGACGTGTAATGCAGAAAAATATCAAGAGGAGGCTATTATGTGAAACAGCAACAAAGTGAACATGAATACGCAGCTGTAAATTGAATCTATGAACAAATTACAGAAATGGCCCCCAGCCTGAACAAACACAATCTCAACATGGTGTGTGCCACATTTATCTGAATGACACATTTTTCTTTCACTAATGTTTTCTTTTTTTTTTTTTTGAGTAAGTCATTGTGGCCATGTTTCCTTTGACATTCTTTTTCTTAACATTTGAATAAAATCTGAAGCTTAGAGCCGAGGGCTTCTCACTCACAGAGATATTCACACCTCATAAGACTAAAATGAGGAGATGCAGAATTTATATGACGCAACCCGTCACATGTGTCTATTGCTGACCTTCATGTCTACCACGTCTCTCTGCAACTTTTCAATCTCATGAAATGTCACAATGAAAGAAGGTTAAAATTAAAAAAAGACAGGATAATTTATCACCGTCTCTCACAGCGCCTTCATGGTTCACTGAAAGGGAGTGATTAATTGTTGCTCCCTCTCTTTAGGCTGGCAGGTTACGTGGAGGCCTTGGCGTCTCGGCTGGGGATGCAGATTCCTGACCTGAGCCCAAAACAGGCCGATATGTGGCAGACCAGAGTCAGCTGTCACGCGGTTGGTACCATTATCCCTCACCAAAGCACTTAACCCCATCTCTGCTCTCCTAATGTGAAAGACTCAGACTTATGAACACTCAAACATAAACCCAGCCAGAGTGGATATTAATGAATCTGCTGGGTGTTCATGGGTTCCATTTGTCATGTAATGCATTGTAAACATCAAACCAGGTCAGGTCTTTGTACAGTGATGTTTCTGTGATGTGCTTTTTCCATCACACACTCATTCTGCAAGGAAATTAGACCTGAATAATTTTTAATGCACTGTGACTGCTGAAGTGTGTAATGTAATTAGTTTTAATTGGCTTCAGTGATTATTGCAGCAGTAAAAGGTTACCGGCTGGTTGTAAAAGGTCATGCCGATTCTGACATGAGGGGAAATGTTTTATTTTTTTATTTATTAGAAAAGATGTCTAAGTGTAATTGGAAATCAATGTGTCAGTCTTTAGACATTTAGAGTAGTGGTTTTCTGGCTTGGTAATCTTTCCTTGCAGCAGGCCAGGTGCTACATGAAAGGATTTAGTACAATATAATGATGATAAAGCTTCCTTGTGCCTTTGCAAATGTAGACCAAACTGGAATAAATGATGAGGAAAGCAAAGTATAATAAAAGACAGAGTCAGGTCACTTTGGTTAAAAAGTCACCTCTGAGCCAAATATAACAGGATTATTTACTGGAAGTTTTTTATCTGGATGATTTAAAACATAGGTTCTTGAAATGTGTTCTGTCAGTATAATCTTACTTTCTTTCATCTGTGTTTAGGGCAAAGCCATTGGTGTTGGCATCGGCTGTATCCTGGGCATGTTTCCTCTTCTGTTCTTCAAGGACGATGATGAGAAGAAAGATGGCCAGACGGAGGCGAAGGAGAAAACACAGTCGCCACCTGCTCCAACAGAGAGCAGCAAAAACTGAAAACTGACAACTTGCCGGAGACAAATACTATTTGGAATCCATTCGAATACTTTAAACTTGGACTGATTGGCCTTGCCTGGTGGACTGGTGTATATGGAAATGTCACTGAACCCCATACAGTGTAATCACTGGGTACTTCACTTTCCAAGGCTGAATCAAACTGTCAAAGGTATTCTGAAGAGGATTTTAAATATTATTTGATTATGGACTTTTTAACTGAAGCACAGGGACCTGACTGTCTCTTGAAGAGACATGAGACCATTGATTCATTGGACTGCTGCTACTTCAACTATTCCACCGTAACCTCACCTTGTTTTGACTTGACTGACACAGGCTGAAATGCATTCATCTAACACACACTGCAGTGGCCTGTTTCTCTGCTCTACTCTGAGTCTTTTGACTGGAACAAAAAAAAGAACCTGATGACTCGCGACGTTTATGTGGTGCGTAGGTGAAATGAAAGTTAGGGCTCCCTGAAATATCACAACAAAACTTTGGAATCAATGCAAGTAAACAAAACATTACCAGAGCTGATTCAGAAAAAAAAAAAAAGTTTCTTTCATGGCATTTTGACATTGAAGTTTTCTTGTATATTGTCAGAAATCCTGATCATTAATAGATCAAGACTGAACGAAGAGCCATGTCATCGAACAGTGTTACAAGTGTTAAAAAAACATGTTAAAGGACTCTCCTGTGCTTCCTCAGTCAATCAAAGTTTTTGAGGGTGATAAGTCAAGGAGAGAGAGTCACATTTGCATATTAAGATGCACCATCCCAAATTCAGTACATTACTTTTCAGTTTTGCAAGTATGCCTGCCTTTTGATGATGTCAGAGTCTTAAAACGTCAAAGCCAACATCCTGCATCATCCTCGCTCCATGACCACCAGTTGGCAACTTATGGTGAGACAACAGGTGGTTAAAATACGTAACACTTGCTAGCTGCTTCTTTGGAATTTTGTGTTTGTTGTTGGTGATGACCTTTATGTTTTTTTTATATACTTGATATCCCCCACAGTAATAACATGCAGAAAATATCTGTCATGTATACCTTATGTAACCAGGTGGATGCAGTTCTACAAAACTTTTTAAAGAACAGAGCAGTTGAGCAGGAGGGAGAGAAACGCAGAGAGGCAGAGGGAGGAAGAGGAGCTGTGGCACAAAGATAAGAAATGCCAACATTGAACCACCTGAGACCTCTGTCCCATTTGCACTGACCTTCTGGCTGCAATACCGCATGATTTATCTCCTCCTGCTCTGTACCAGCCCGACCTGCAGCCGAACTCCAAAGCACCTCTTCCATGGTGAGATAGCGCCGGACCTCTAATCCAGTTTCTATTAAATTATAAGAGATGTTCGTTACCCTGTTTTCATTCTGTGAAAAAGCTGTGATTGCTTTTTACTGTAATACTAACGCACAACTGCATTTCTGCCTGTACCTCGACGATAATGTCTCTGTTCTACTGCCCTCCACTGGTCAGTGGAGGCAGTTATCTTTCAGTGTGGTAGAACTGCTACCACCATAACACATAGTTCTAGTTAATTACCTGTTTGCTTTCCCTGTTTAGTATTCAAACCCCTCAAAGTATAGCTATAATTAATCACTTTATCACTCTATAATTATTGCTCTTAATCGATATGCAAACTAGATAATCTGCAGCATCTGCTAGACATGAAACACAATGACAGGAAAGATATATTTGGGATGATAGGGCACTACCATCCATCCATGGCTTCATTCAGCTGTCACTGATTTCCTCATTTATCTTTTTAAGTTTTTTTGTCACCTGCTTGGCACAGGTGGCTCGTCTCAGCAGCAGAACTGCAGATTGTGATGAATCTGTTTAGCAGTTGAAATGAAAGGAAGCAGCCGTAATGTCACTGAATGGAAATTCCTCTTTATTTTTGTTATAATGTTCAGACTCGTACTCATGTATGTTCTCAGTGTATACCCTCTTTATCTCAAAGGACAATGTTAAGAAAAAGACATATTTGTACGCACAAAAACACCTTTGTGAATATGTTTTCACTAGCAATCTCTAACAGGAAAGCTCAACTTTGCAGCTGATCGCTCTCTGTTACAGTCCATGACTAAACTAACCAATCATGTTCTAAAAACTTGACTCTCACAAAGGAGACTTACCCTGTATAAGATTGTCCTAGTTATTTATAATGTGGGTAACAGTGATCCCAAACAGTGATGAAAATGAAGAAAATGTACAAAGAATTGAACATATTTATGTAGTTAGGATTTTTGTTGTCATTGCTTGATTTCCACCTTGCATGCACTGCTAATAAAAAAACCTATTGTACATGTTTACTTCGTAAAAAATAATTTAAAAAAACTTGAGTATGCTCTAAAATTATGCACTGGACAGGATATGAATCACTTTAGTGAGAAAATATGAGTAACTCAGGCTGGATTCACATGCAAGAGATTCATATATATACAGTATATATATATATATATATATATTTTATGGCTGTCTAAACTGTTAAAAAACACAAAGACTCGTGTTTCCCTTTTTAGACAGCCAACGATTATCATAAATAGCTTAAACACAGGATTGTCTGTTTTTATGTTGCCTTGCAAAGGCTTTTGCAGATTGGTAACAGCTCTGCTGGGGTGGTGTTGAGGGTGGAGCAGTTTGTTATGAAGAGACGACTGCTTGATGGGCAAAATGCAACAAATGTAATGGTTTCCAATAATAGTATCAATTTACCTCCTTGCGTTGGATTGCATCATAAAACTTATGTGTGTTACTGGGGGGAAAGCAAAGAAGATTATAGTTCACAGAAGCTCAGAGTTGACACATGATCTTGATCATTATCTTGAACTGATGCAATTTTATCTTTGATAAAAACATGAAATGTTTAATCAATTATAACTGAAAAGCACATGAAACTATACTTGAGGGGTTGCGTCCTTGGTGTGTTAAACACTGTAGGTTGCAGGTCCATGAATGCATACTTTTTGAATGGGTAAGATGGCTGTCTATATTCATTTGATTAATATAAATGCAGGTGATGAAATCTGAAGTTATGTTGAAGTTCTTTTTACTTTCAGAGTTTGAATAGACCTTGTCTGCCTCCAGAAGATTTGGAAAGCTGCATTAGAGACTTGGAAAGGCAGAGGTTATTAGCCAAAGGCATTTCAGTATATGTAGACATTACTGTCCTACAGGTTACAGGACATGGTCCAGTATTTTTAGGACATACTGTATTTGACACAGTCTGTTGTGTATAATTCTGATCATCCACATCCGCTTGTTCTCAAAACTACCAAAAAACAAAAGTAAAAACAATACATTCTGGATTTGCATGTTAAAATGTTTGGAAAGTTAGCCAATGAAAAGGAGATTTTTTTTTAACTGTGAAAGAGCTTTGCTGCATTTGTAGAGCTACAGTATGTACGGCTGCTCTGAAGCTTCAACTTTCCAGGAACTAAGAAATAAGATTTTGGTTTTAACTTGGTCATTGCATTGTGGGAGTTGAAGTGCTGGTTTGAAGAGTGGCACAGTTATCTTAGTAATCCTTCAAAGTCAAGTTAAAACATAAAACTTTCAAAAATCTTACTAATTATATATGAATTTTACACACACATGAATTTTGCTCTATTCTCTAGTGCACCAGCATAGGGTTTTTCTGTGAATTCATGATACTGGAAATATAAAGTTATTAGTTCATAAGAGTCTGTTCTGTGATGATTTTATCTGCTTTGATTAAACAGTTACCACCTGGCTGCAAACATCTGGCCTGGTGTGGACTTTGCCTTTACATTCTGCATGATTACATTATACATTTTTATTTACAGCTAATGTAATTGATCTCTTTAGAATGGATTTGTGTGCTTACATGCTTATCTGACATAACATTTGATTCTTTAACTTCAATGGTTGAAGAAGAAAGTATACAGACAGAGGCAGGTGATGGCATCAGCACATCTGTCATTGTGTGTCCTTAATTTAACATATTAGACACACTTGTTTTATATGCATGTGTTACCACTACATTTGTTTGTACGATTAGAATTCACTGCAGCCACAAAAGCAAGATCGAAATACCTGCAGAGATGATGACATGTAAATGCAAACTGAATGTCAGCTGCATATTAGACCACAAGGCGAAGAGAGGTGGTTATTGTAGATGCAGTCTGCAAATTGTCTTTCATTACTGCATCAAGCAGCAATAGTGAAACTGTTTCACAAAGAGTGGAGAAGCTTCATTAGTGCGGAGAGAGAGAGAGAGAGAGAGAGAGAACAGTGGTTCATTTAAGAATATACTGTATACATAAAATGGTTGACCAGCAGTGTGACTTTGGCAACAAATGCACAACTCTGCTTTACCTAGTCCCTCCAGATGTCCATCAGTGTGCTGAGTAGATGCACAGGATTGATTGTGTTTGTAGGAACTAAGCTGAGATTCATTTACCCAGCTGTACGTCGCTGCTTAGCTTTTTTTGGCTTTTGTTGGCTTTTGTTTTCAGGGCAATCAGTCTATATACAAAAATCAGGTTTCATAAAGATCTAATGGCAAAAATACACAAGATGGATGTTTGGGGTAATTTTCCTATTGTAAGAATGACTGAGACAGAGCTCTCTGACACTGAGCAGCTTGTCAAACTGCAGAATACTTGAATAATCCTCTGATTTCATTGTGCCCTGCACAGATTCAAGACCTGTACCCTGTACCAGGTGCAGCAAAGCAACCCCATAACATGACTGGGCCTCCTCCACATTTCAGTGTTTTTTTCTTTGAAAGCTTCTTCTTTCTTCTTCTGTGAAAATAGAGCTGATGTGACTTACACAAAAACTCTTCATTTTGTTTCATCTGTCCACAGGACATCCTCGTAGACGCATTGTGGATCGTCAATATGCATTTTTAGCAAACTTCAGTTGGCTTTTTTGTTCCTCCTTCAAAAGTGCGGACTTCCTGCGTCTTTCTTCCATGAGACCCACTTTCATTCAGAAAGTGACACATGATGCAACCAGACACTGTTGTACCTCAATCCCAGAGATCAGCTTGTATCTGTTTTGAAGATTTCCTTGGTTCTTTTTCCACCATTTGAACTGTCCTTCTGTTCGATCTGGGGTCACTTTTCATCTTGCAGCCACATCCAGGCAGGTTGGCTACAGTTCCACAGACTTTAAACTTCTTAATAATATTACCAACTGTGGTCAGAGGAACATCAAGTTGTTTGGAGATACTTGGCAATTATGACAATAGTCTGCTTGAAATATCACTACAATCCACTTATTTATTGCCACTTTCCAAGCCATTTTAGCAGATCTTTGTAGAATAAGCAAGAATCCCCTTCTTTATACAGCTTCTCTGTTTTATTCTGCGGTTTGCCACATCCTTATATTTAAATGTTGCTTGTTGTCATCTCTGTACAATTTTCTTTCCCCCTGGTTGTCATTAGCTGTCTGTGAGCTCAAGCTGGATAAAAACACACATACACACACACACCTGTGTCAGAGGGGACCAGACAGGTGACATGAGGGGCAGAGATGCAGCCACTTTGAGAATATCATCAGAGATTAAACAGCTTGGGACAGGCGTCGCATAGAGAAGGTTTGACTTAATGCTGTAAGGGGAGGGGGGTGGGGGGGTTCAAGTTTTATCAGATAAACAAATGCAACACACTGGCACCTGGAATTAACATTTGTTTCACTAAAGCTTTATTTGTTATTCTACATTTTTTCTATACCACTCACTCTTTCCTGCATACAAACAATACTAAAATGGAACAGTGGGGTAATAAGAAAATATCTCTCTCTCACACACACACACACACACACACACACAAAAACACACACACACTCTCTCACTCACACACACACACACACACAAAAACACACACACACTCTCTCACTCACACACACACACACACACAAAAACACACACACACTCTCTCACTCACACACACACACACACACAAAAACACACACACACTCTCACAGTCAGTATATTTGATCACACATACGCTTTCAAAAAAACACATACAAAAAATATCCTCATAATCAGTATTAAGTCATTCAAATAGCTGCTCATTCTGACGTCACATTCATACTATATATGTGCCACTCATCGCTCATTTCCCTGCCCTAAAAACACATGCAGACATACAATGCCGTGAACATGTTATTGATAACACAAACATATTTAAATTCTACAGCTCGTTCCATATCAGTTACTCAGGGTTGTTTCACAAAAGCAATTTCATGCTATAGCAAAGCAGTACTTGGGAGGAGCAGTTTCATTTTTCAGCACACACACCACTTGAGGAGTTGAGGTGCAGTCAAGTGTTCGACAATGTCTGTTGTGGGGACAAATTGAATTGCCATCAACATTTAGGTGTTTTTTTTTCCAGGTCTAATTGTTAATAATTGCAGGCAAAATGGCTTTTTGCACATAAATGGCTACAGGTCCCCAGACAGCTCACTACTGACACTTCATTAACTCCAAGAGAGGTACTAATGTGCAGCTAAACATTAAAATAATTCACAAAAATTAAATATTGCCATCTTTACTCAAAACCCTAACCCAAGAGATAAAACGTCTTGAAAGTAATTTGTTCTAATTAGCTGAGAGACTATAACAATAGGTTAATTTGCACATTCCCCTACTTCTCGTTTCACCTAAAATCTTGAATAATTTACCCCTTGAACAATGACCCCTGTGGTATTTATCTAATAATTACTGTTAATTAGATTAAATGCCCCCCCCCCCCGCCTAATGTCAACACTTGTTTTGTGGACGGGGTCCCTGTCACAGCAAAGCTAAGAGGTGAGATTTTCATGTTACACAGATGTTATCTTCTGTCCCAATAGAAAAATACGAAACACCTGTACACCGTTTTTGATTTTTCTTTTCTTGTACAAACAGGCTCTACATATTAAGAATAAGAGGCTTCAGTCAATATGTGAACTGAGCCAAAACAGGCAAGTCATAAAATACATTTTACTGAACTCAAAAAGTTGAGATTAGCCTAAAAGATATAAGGCAGGTAATAAAATGCATTACCATTAGTGCATGATTAAACTGTTAAATATGCTCTTCACGTGCATTTAAAAAAGGGACAAGCTGGCATTTTCAAGTGTAATTGTTCTTCACCAGGCACACTACCAAAAAGATTTCTTGCATTGCAACTTGTTAGCATTGTTAGCAAACCTCTTTATAATCAACCCATAATTGTAGCTGAAAATTAACATGCTAGCCTGCAGCAGATAGCACCATTAATAACCAAGCCACTGTGCCACTTTTAATTCTCCCAATGCTCCCGAACCTCTCATGAGTGATAACGCTTCCATAACGAGAAACAACAGAATAATAATTAATAATTTAAGAAAATGTTTCCGTTTTCACCGTGTTTTCTAACCACAAACATCAGCTTCTAAGTGTGCAAAGGTATAAGCTAGTGAAGTGAAGCTATTGTGAAATTTTGCAAAGAAATTGTACTATTAGGGGAAAAGTAGGTGTTCAACTCATGGTCGGTATGAAGCTGCATTGGGAGATGCTGCGCGGTGGCAGTTTCAGTCAGTCCCACATGGCTTACCTTCATTACTTCATTCAGCAGAGTTCAGACAGTACAAACAACCAGCAGGTGTCTCTGTTCAATCAACCTGCAGCTGCTGATAAGCTCTGGTAAATCTACAGTTTTAAATGTGTTCTTTCTCAGAAAGAACACAACACCAAACTCCCACTGACAAGAAATACATTTTAACTTGTAAAATTCCTGTTTTTTGATCATATTTTCCATTCTTTGAATGTGCAATGGGTACCTCCCAAAAAGAGGAACTTCAAATGTATTTCCTCTCAGTTTCGCCACAGCTTTTTGTTCAATTACTCTATATCATGATAGCAGGTTTCCAGCACCGTTCACATGATAAGAACTGTGTCAATATTACATTCCCTACTGCTTCAGCAGAAAAACATATTCCTTGGGGAAAGTAGAATGATAGTGATTGGAAAGCCTTTGTTTTTAAGTTTGCTCCATTTTGTGCTCATATTGCACCGTTTCATAATTTATTACAATTCGGTGCGGATGCAAACCAACATGAGCAAGAGCTTGTCGGCCGACCGTATGGTTTATTCTTAAAATATCTGTTAGCCACTCCCTTTTGTTTACAGGGGTATAGCTACAGGACAGGATTAGCCATAAAAACTATAATAAAGTGTTTACTTGTTCAAGAGAACAGTCAAGTCTCCTCACCTGGAAGAGCTGTCCTCTTGCCTTCAATAAAAACTTCAATAGTTATGGTTTCAGTGGAGAGTTTGAGAGCTGTATAGTCTAATTTGTATTTCAAGCTGCTCTCGACCCAGTGGGAGGAATATCGAGACAGACCACAGTTTTTCATGACGAGGTCCACACACACACACACAGGGTCACTGAGATAATGCAGAGGGTCACGGATCACTACCACATTCACACACACACACAACACACACACACACACACACACAACACACACACACACACACACACACCACACACACACACACACACACACCCACACCTCTGGCAGCAAGTGGGTGCAGCGGGTACATGGGCTCTCTCTCCCCATGGCATGCTCTTTTGTTGTGGCCACACAAGGGCAGCCTTTGTGTGCCATCAGAGTGTGGCCAAGTACGAGCGTGTCTAAGAGAGAGTATGTGCATATTTGTTTCCAAGTGTCTGTTTATGCATGAGTTTTTGTGTATTTGTGTGTGTGTGTGTGTTTGTGTGTGTGTGTGTGTGTGTGTGTGTGTCCTGGTATTTGTGCCTTGTTTGAGCTGTTCTCCCACTGTCCTGGCTTTCATCCCACCGTGGGGCAGGACAGTGCAGATAGAGGACAGGGATAAAAAGTGAGCCTCCTTTCTCTCTTCACACTGTTGCATTGTTGCTGGAGCAGGCAGGCTGGTGTTGAGATGGGCATGTAGGGAATAGTGGCTATGGAAAGTGGAGGGAGGCTAGGGTCCTGGTGGTGCTGACGGTGGTACCAGAGATATTCCCATCAGCTAATGTTTCTCTTTTCAGTCTGCCTGCTGAGCTTATGTTTAATGCATTGTCTTAATCTTGCAATATGGCAGAACGGCTCTTCCTGTGCACATCCAGCACCATATAGGCTCAAATCCTGCATTATGTCCCCAAAAAATAAATAACACTCTGGTTTCCCGTTTGAAGTTGGCTGAATGCCCTTTAGGGATGTTCACTTGTCTTTGAGAGAACCCTGGACTGAGAGCCTGGTAAAAGAACATGAAGAGGGGATTTTCAGTCTACTTTGTCATTGTTGTTGGAGTGAACAGGCTGGCACTGGGCTGAGCACGAAGACGAGAAGGAGGAGGCGGAGGAAAACGTTTTAGTGGTCGCAGAGGGGTCCCTGGTTTTGTGTTTCCGATGCAGGGCGATCGCAGCCAGAATGCTGATGATGTGCACGTGGAAGTACATAGACCTAAGAAAGAAAGGAGGAAAAACCAAGGGTAACTTTTCTACCTTGAACATTAGGGAAATGTGACATGAGAAAATAAAGCAGGCCACAAAATAACATGTTAAAAACTAAACTATTTGTTGAACTATATTAGAAAAAAAGAAAAAAACCTTAATAAATATCAGAAGTCAGTAGAAAGGGATTAGAAAGGGTTACATAGATTAGTACTGGGGTTGCAGTGATTAGTCGATTTGTAGATCAACAGAAAATGAATCTGCAACTATTTTGTTAATCTATTAAAAGGCTCTTGGTCAGACAAAACAAGACACTTCGGCCTTAAGAGTAAGTCGGTATGACATAGAGTATGACAACTTCAGTTTGTTGAGAGGGCTTTCAGGAATACTTCCTCAGACTAAACACAAATTTGTGTGTACACCATGTACACACAGCCAAAATGTCCCTCTCCTAACCACATCTCACTGCTTTTCTCCTCTCACACAAAGGTTTGTTCAAACTTCAAAATGGATGCAGACATCTGGGCATGCGCTTACATATAGTCAGTATGCAGTATACAATCTATACATACAATCAGGGTCGTGCGTACACAGACGCATTCTTCCCATGCATTAGAGAATAAGATAGCGACCGCCAAGTAGCAAGAAGAGGAGCTCCTTTGTTTATTGCATTTAGCTGAGCAACAAGAAAAAGCCAGAGAAAATGGTGTGTGCAACCATTTGACGAGAATAGGTCGGTGTACAGTTGGCCATGGTGAAACTTAACGATAAAACCATAAAAATCCGAAACAATTTATCATCTGAAATAGTGAGTTGGTATTTTTGGGCTAAATGAAAGTGATAAAAAGGAGTGTTCTACGACAGGAAAAACTTCACAGATGCACCAAGCTACCAGAAACTGTCTGCTGAACCAGCCTGAACTCAACTCTAAGTAGACATATCTTTGCAAATGCACTCAGTCTCAAATTAAAACTGTTAAATCATATACAGAAAAAACATTCACAACACAGTATGCACTTTTTTTATTTTTAAAATAGAGAAGATACTTTGCGATCCAGCATAAATTGGGTTTAAGAGGATAAAATAATTTAAGCCTTGGTAGGACATACCTGTAATAAACCAAAGTGGGCTCTACTGCAAGAAGTAGAAAAGGCATCACAGTGTAGCAGATGGCCAGCTGAGTGGCTGCCCAAGTTAAGATGTCGTAACTCAGCTTCAAGCCTCTGGAGCCCAGGAAGTAGTGGCGAATAGATTTCCTTATCTGGTGAGGAGAGAAAGATATACAGAGAGGGATAAATAATTGCTTTATTTCACACTAGTGAAAAAAATGGATGTACTTAAGATATTCTGCTGCTGTAATCTTAACAAAAAATCTTTTTTCAGTTTTTCTCAGATTGCATTAATTTAAACTTCTAGAGCTACAGTGTTTCTGTATGTTATATTTTGCTGTGGTATAACATCTACTATCAGGAGCCAGACCAAAGTTTTGGAATAAAAACTTAATTCAAGTCCTTCTCATACAGGTACAAGTCTTTTCTGACAAATACACATTTCTAGAATCAATTTTTTAAAGTTACAATAAGAAATTAAGTTAAATGTTATATGTTTTTTGTAAACTGGGAATCTGATAAAGCTATCAAAATTGCAAAATTACTACTTGACAAAATAATAACTGTTGATTTTCTTTTCAGTTGTACGCTGGATTATTAATTGGAATTTGCAGCGGAGGTAAGGTACTCACTGCTCGTGCTGCCATGGTGATGGGGATGGCTGTGATGAAGGTAAAATAATACCCTGGATAAACACCATGCCACAGGGCAGACAGGATGAAAGTCAACGCCAACCGGTGCTTGGGGGCTCGGTCATAACACACACTGAGGAGATGAGAGGAATCAAACATATGAGTGTATGTGAAATGAAAAGCCAAGGAAATGTTTTCTGACTGTATGCAGGAGTACTGAAGTTCATAATTGCAGCACTTACGTTTTGAGCCAAATTCCTGTTCTGATATTCCAGTTGTCTATGAATGTCTTGAAGCTGGTTGCAGTCTGAAAAAAATTGTCATCTATCAATGAAAAACAATATTCACATAACAGTAACTGTGTGCTACAATCCATAAGTCAATGATGGATTTTGACCCAAATGAATTTGCATGAATTCTAACACAGTGCCAGGACTGTATGGTCTTTTTTTCTTTTTTTAAGTCATGTGAAACACTGACGGTACCTCAATCCCCAAGATGTTGAGGTTACAGATGAGATCCCATGATGGCTGTCCATTTTCATCCATCCCCAAGAAACCAAAACCTGCAGCGTTGTTCACAGCATCGGCTGGAAAAAGAAAATCGTGACTTACATGGCAGTAAAAACTATGTCCTCTTCATGTTAGCAGTTGACAGTATGATTGGCCAACCACAGCACTCCAACTAAACACACATGCTTTGCTCACCTAGCGTCCAGGCAAAGTAGAATTTGGGCCTCGCTGCTTGTATGGAGAAGAAAGCGTAGTTGAGCCTGTTGAGGAAGGGGGCGTGGCTGACAAAGTAGGGGTCCACATTGTGCGTTACTGGCAAGGACCGAGTCACAATGAGGAAGAACAGCATACAGCCACAGCAGACCAGCAGCTTTTGACAGACAGCAGGCTGCAGAGAAAATTGATAACTTCTGAGCAGTGCCCTTCTATAGTCCAAGGTTGTGCTGTGTCATTGAATACAATGAGAAGAGGGAGCAGCAAACAGATATTCATGAACTTACCAAAGGTGACGGGTCCGGTGTCTTATCATAGCCATTCTGCCCAGTACACGTCCCAGAGCGCTGCCTGAGCCTCTGGCTAATGTGTCTGCCCTCTATGAAGTCTATGTAGTCCTTATAATCACTGCACGGTCCCACCAAGACACTCAGGAAGTTCAGATTGTAACTCAGGTATTCAATGAGAGAAGGCCTCACACTGCAGAAAGAACAATAGAGGAAATCACTGACAACAAAACAGAGAACCCTTTTACTTCCAGTATGAAAACACTGATCACTTCAGGTGAAATGCAACTGTGGTACTGTGGTATTTTTGTTTAAGTTAGTTGGAAATGAGAAAAATGCATGCCATATTTTTTAAAATAAAAATTAACAATTAAAAAGGCTGTAAAATTGTATTGTTGTTTGGCAGATGAAAAGCATACAAAAAAGTTAACATTCTCTGAATGACAAAAGTCTTTTCACACAGAGGCAATCTACATGTTAGAAATTAGGTTTTGATTTGGTTCTTTTGGCCCTCTGATTATAGCAGTTAGGCAGCCTTTAGGGGAAACAGTGTTCAGTATTGAGAACTGGTTCTGACCAAAAATACTGAAAAATCAGGAAGTCATGAAGAAATCTGCTTTTCAACAAGTTTATTGATTTCTCAAAGCAACGTTTTGACCTGCTGAGCTTCTGTTTACAATTGCTGGTTATGCACGCATTAAACCCTGTATATCATGTTTACAGTATAACCAGAATTGTTAAGTAAAATCAGAATCAGTATCAATAAAATACAGTTGATACCCAAACCTATAGGGAGCAGAGGAATCTTAAAATAAGGTGTCGAAAATAAGTTTATAACACAAGAACAACATTATGGTTATGATCATTTATTGATATATTTTCCATTTTGTTTTAAAATTGCATGCATGGCACATGATGAATGTGGTTTTATAGATTAACATGCATACAAATGTAGTATACTCCATGCAAAAAGATGCCTCTTCTCTACGTTCCCAGCATGCTTTTTACATGAATAAGCTATTCACCATGATTGCATCTCCTTGTCATTGTTCCTCGTGGCTAAAGGAAAGGAAAGTGTTATTTTTTCTTTTAATATGGTGTTAATTCAGATGCAGCCTTCTGTGTACACATACTTTGACAGGAACACCGGTGCACTGAACACTGGTGCCAGATACATATTAACCCTACAGTGTAAACTATATGCACCTCAAAGGTCGTATGTCTATCCCCTGATGTTTCACACAGCAACATATGAAATGCCCTCAGTATGTTTTTCCACTATAAAAACTTACTTTATCGCCAGAAGCTTCTGCTCCGGAGTCAGCTGTTCAGATTTCTTACACATACCTGAAAGACAAGGGATGAAGTCATCAGTACGCCTGTTTGGAAACTTTCATTTTGCCACTTTTCATCACTCTCTTGAAATTTTCTTATTTCTTTTCTTCCATTATAGAATTATTGAATTTCACTCTAGGTCTTTTTCATGGAAGCACAGGTGTTGCTAATGAAATCCATGATGGCTTTATTCCACAGCGCCATGATTTTGTGCACAATGACTCACTGTCACCCTGTCGGGGGCTGAGTGGGACATTTGAGTTGAAGTTAGCCATCGTTAATGTTCTTAGCAACATCAGAGCTTTTCCTTTTACCCCAGGTCAACCAATTGGCAGTTAAAAAAGCTTCTTAGTTAAATGTTGTGAGAGCTTGTTGCGACCACTGTTAAAGGCTTGCCAACATACAGTATGTGTGCATTTGAGTGTGTAAGTGTGTGTGTGTCTGTGAGCATCCTCTCCTCTATCTTACCGTCATGGAGCTGGAAAGCCAGTGTGGTGATCTTCTGAGTTACTATCATCAGAGGCCTGAGCAGAAAAGGCAGATAAATTATTTAATTCAACTGTAAAAGTTTGGAGAAAAACACAGATTTCAACTGCTGAGCTGACTTGGTGGATTGTGAGGTGAGAAAATAAATATATGAAGTTAAGATTAAACATACATATGCAGCCTCATGTATTTGGGCAGTTGTGACAGTTTGTAGTAGAGCTACCATGTTTTTAAATGTTTTAAAAATCAAAAATAGAGACCATGACACATCAGCAAGCAGCATGTCTGTCTGAAAAAGAGCACTTTTTAGTCATTTACTATACGACCGACCTGAAACAAAGCGCGCCCTAAGCAACTGTCTACTGCGCCTCTGTGAGGCTACAGAATTTATTTCCCCTTGTGAATCACTTCATTCTCTTCTAGCAGTGTCATGCCAGGTCACTTATTACTCCAATGCAATTCATTCAAACACACAAATGTTCACTTAATCACTTTTGAAACCAGGACAACCAAATCTTCATCTTGAAAAACTCATGTGTTATAGAGAAAATCATGTCCTAAAGTACAAAAGTAAGACGATTTCTATACTAATACTGTGGGTTTTTTCACACTTATTTGCAATGCAATAAATATTAAAATTACACTGTTATCAAGAGCAAGACACAGTAGATTACATTGCATTACCATGTAAACTGTGAGGGCAGTTTAAACAGTAGAATAAGTGAACATACAATAAGTGTACAATAACTCATGTTTGTGCAATGTTTCTGTGAAGTTACAGTTTAAAGTTTGGTTTAATTTGTTTCAGTAGGTTAGTCATTTGTGGATACCAAAAAGTGCTGGAAGTGAGATAACAGTGGAGGGCATTAAGGTCCTGTACAGTAAGTTTGAACAGACTAGTTTCACACCCCCTCTCCTAGTTTCATTCACAGATAGAGACCTCTCTGTCCCAAGAATGTGAGTGTGTGTGCACAAAGGCACACAAGCACACATTTAACTACATCTCTCCCTCTCTCTCTCCCTCTCGCTCTCTCTCTCGCGCTCTCTCTCTCTCTCTCTCTCTCTCTGTGTCTCGCATACACACAGGAACCAGTGTCGGAGGGGGCTGCATTGTGTGCACAGCATGGAAAACTGAGGCAGAGAGGGGCTGGCCGTGCGGCTGGCAGTGCTAGCTCAATGAGAGTTGGCAGTTGGCTTTAGAGAAACATTTTCAGGGTGCCAGCCAGTATGTGCGACACTGCTCCACTGTAGCCCACAGACTCTGTTTTTCCATGTAGTGTTGGCACAGTACATGAGATTTTGACCCAGTTCAATTTCTGTTCTGCTACCTTGCACAAATTCAGAAAAGATCAGCTTATGGAAATGCTCACAGACAAACAAGAGAATAACACACAGACTGTAGAGACAAGCTCTAGATTTACTATGTTTGACATCTTCCTACAGGGAAAGCAATACAAGATACCACGGTGATAACCAGAACACCACTTAAGTAGAAAACCAGATAATCCCCAACAAAAAGGCCTGCTGTTATACAAGAAAAAGTGAATTGCAAATCCTGTGTTTGACCGGATCATTTCATTAAATCCTGGGTAAGTAGTGGCATCCAGGACCTTGCCTTCAGTGGTTTGCCTCCTACTGAACAGACAGGACTTTCTCTCTTAAGTCAGGGAGCTTCTTTTACTCTACTGCCTCAATCACTTGTGGAGTACCCCAAGGCTCCATTGTAGGGGTCATTTTACTTGTTTTGTATATTCTCCCTTTAGGCTCCATCTTCCGCAAGCAAAACATCTCTTTACTTCCCTCAAAGCACAGCTAGACACAAATGGCTTTTTTCCTACTGATATGAATTTGGAGATTTCTCACCAAAATCTACTGTGAAAACTGTACACACAGCATAAACATGTTACCTTAACATTAGCATCAGCATGCCCAGCATGAGGAATAACATTTTGTGTCTTCCTTATAACTGTTCACTTCTCATTAAAGTCTGGTGCAACCAACATAAACTTTCACTGGCTCATATTCATATCCATGTTTTCTGCTTGTTTGTTGTCAAAAAGTCTTACTCACTCGAACACAGCCCCGATTTCATGTGCAACTTTGAGCTAAACCTTCAGATAATACTACTATTGCTCATTCTGAATGAAAAAAAGTACAAATAACAAATGCAGCCCAAATAAATTCCCAATTATTCTTACGAAAGTAACCAAATCATATAAACTATGTAAACAATATAATGTCAACAGTTACAATCTCCTTCCACTGCTACACTGATAACACAAATATCTCCTCCATTGAATCCAGGGGATTATATCACTATCACATCCATCCTTAATTGCCTCCAGAATGTAAAATGCTGGATGGCAAAATAACTGTCTTCAGCTGAATGATAACAAGACAGAAGTGATTGCTTTTGGTTCCCCGAATGCCACAGGAAGCGTAGCTAGCACACTTCAGGCCACTGACATCAAACCTTCGTGCCCATACTAGAAATCTTTGACTTGGCAGTGAAATTTGACAAACTCTGTGGTGAAAGGTTGCCATCTTCAGCTGAGGATCATGGCTAAACTTAAGTCCATCCATCCTTGAAGACTGTTACCACCACATTAATCTTATCAAGGCTGTATTATTGCAACTCACTGCACCTGGGTACTGTATTGAGCAGTCCTTTTTGTCTCGCCTGCAGCTGGTGCAGAATGCAGTAGCGAGACTCCTACCTGGTACCAGAAAAGACACCAGTACCAGCATTCCTGTGCTGGCTATCTGTCAAAAACAGAATCAATTTCAAGATCCTTTTTTTTTTTTTTTTTTTTTTAAAAAAGCCATACATGGTTTCTGCCTTTAATTAAAATGTTTACAGCACTTTAGTCAACTCCGGCTGGTTTAAACATTCAATATAAATCAACTTGATTTGATGTGATTTGATTTAGAGCAATTAGTTACACATACACATTACACCACCTCTGTGACTCACAGCCATTTATCTGTCTACTCTGGAAGCCTGAAGAAGCTGGATTTCGATTCAGTATATGACCCTTCCAAAGGCTGACTCACAGGCCTGGCTGATCATCACCAAAGTCATGTGGAGTGCGAGCGAGGCTGCCAGCAAATTCATCCACATGAGAACGGGGAAAAGAAATTGCTGAATACAGGAGCCAGCAAAGTCAGCTGTCACCTTTAAAAGCACAAATACACAGAAATGCTAGTATCCACTTTATCTGATGTGATAATTTCTAGTAAAAACACAGGTACCACCTCAGCCATTATTCTGACAAAGCATGTGTATTGGCAGCTCCATGTTTAGTCAGTTTTTATGAATCATGGGAGGCCCTGCTCTTTATATGAGGTGCTCCACAATGAGATAAGCAGTATGTTAACAAAATTACAACCCTCCTTATCAAAGCAACTCCATCCCATCAATGTGGCAGTAGTAGTGCCATCTTCTGTAATAGAAAATCCCCTCCCAGTTTCCTATGTTCATTTTTTAGCACTTCTTTATGATCCCTGTAGAGTCCAATAGGAAATGTAATACTTTATTGTAGAGAAATCCTCCAGAGAGCAAATGGTCCTCTCTTTTAGAGGCAGGCTTGTTTCTAACACAACAATGTTACAGTTGCCAGGAGGCAGTGAGTACCTTTACTCTACCTTGCCGGACAATGTCAACTGTTAACAATTCACACTGCTGCTTTTTTTTTTTTTTTTAATCTGTGGGGTTGTATTTACACAAGGCCGTGGCACTGATGACTGTGTAATCAGGTACCACACAATTTGGAAACGTTAACTGATAACATAAGAACTGCTCTAAGACTGGAGTGATTAATATGCTGTCACCAAGAAGGTGTGGCAAAGAAGGAGGAAAAGAGATGAGGCAACTGAGTGATTTGAAGTTTTTCCTTACCCAGAGAAGTCAGTGGACAGTATGCCATAGTTAAAGATGAAGACTCGGCTCACTTGGCACACTGTCAGATAGCCCATAGCTGTCACCATGGAATATCTGTATGTGGAGGAATTAACAAAACAAAATCAGACAAGGGGAATTGAGATGGTGATACATAGATTACCTGTAAATGCTACCTAGTAGGGCTGCCACCTCTTGGTCACTTGTTTATGTCTTGGTAGGTTCAGAAATGTCTTCAGTTACAGTTTTTTATGTGAACATAGCTGTTTAGTCATAAGACATTACTGGAAATGAGAGTGAGTAAATTTGTTTTGTATTGTGCACATTAGCAGGATTTGCCAATTAGCAGTATTTTCCTGTGCAATACAAAGGAACTTAGGTTTGTGTCTTTGCCTTTTTCACAAGTTCCTACAGAATGACTGGACTCATGTTATCAGTTTTCTTTAGAAATGTATTTATCATAATTTCACTTTAATTACTGTATTTTTTACATTTGCTGTGGCTGCAATCTTTGGTAGTGTGTGCTCTTGCAAATTGGAAATCAGTCAGAATGACTTTAAAAAATATCTAAGTTTCAACATGCAGTTCAATTAGACCAGCCATCTGTCTTAAAGGAATGTAAAGATGTGATTACTGTAGCCTGGCTTACGAGAGGAGCTGCTACTGGAGACCATAAAAGTGTATGAACTGACTTAATCTTAGATAAAACTACAACTTAACATAGAATAACTTCAACTGAGACATAAAAAGGCATCCATGAGTTTGAGAACTAGCCCTTAAGGACACCAACGTCACTCAAACAGATCATGTTAGGAATAATCGTTTCAACACCACGCAAGACTTCGATACCAAATAATTGCCCCATCTATTGTCCAAATAAAAAAGGACAGGTGAGATAACAACTCTTACACATATTTATAGTCTATTATACATCTCACATTGTGTACAAAATAATGACATCAAGAACTGCAATCTAAAATATATTAATATATATATATATATATATATATATATATACACAGTGGGTCAGAGAAATGTTTTGACACCAGGATATTTTGACACAACAAATTCTTAGATGTCAGAAGTACTGACACTGGAACATAGCAGACTGATTACTCATTTCGTAGGTAAGCACTGCAGTGTGCTGAGATTGGCTTGATACATTCAGAGTTCCTGTGATAAAGAAGCGTGTTATGCATGTTTAACTCGGAACAAAGTTTACACTGTGATTTCCTTCCATGTGTACAGAACAATACTGGTTTTTATCTTCCTCTCCCTTTAAACATGAATACCAGACAAACCTAGCCAAACCTCATGTTGCTCTATTAATAAAAATAAAAAATAAACTACCATGATACACTTGAGCCAAGTTGTTTACATACAAGCCAACAAGCACATATAACATCTATGCTCAGAAAGCTACAAAAAATACTATAAACATTAGAGAAAAAGACACAAACCTATGCACACAGTCCAACTGTCTTGATGTAACAGACGGGTCCAGCTGGCGTGTCAGGCTGCTTTTCATTGGATGTGTTTTGCGTTTGTTTAATGCCTTCAACAACAGTATTTTGGCTCAGGCCACATTTTAACAGGAGAATAATTAGGCGGGTGGATTGCTCTGAAGTCCTTGTTGGAATGTGTGGGAGGGAGTGAATGAATGAAAAAGTTCAAGGGGGTGGGCAACAAAAAAAGGTTGTTTTTTTTTTTTAAAAGATCTAAATGTCAAAAAACTGCATTAGCAACTAACTAAATGATCAATATTATTGCCATTATCTAGACTAAGCCATCTGCCCACTCCAGCATATGCACACCTGTGACGTACATAGTTTCTGGGCTGATCTTGTCTGACAAGTTTTACCTGGAGTCATTAGTGACTAGCTTTGCACCACTATCTTGGAAATGAGATGCTGCTATGTTAGCAGGTCTGTCATTCACCTGTCACTGTGATGACAGACAGATTGGTCATTCTGGTCTAGACACAAACATGTCCCAACTTATTGATTATTGTGTACCAAAGGATTTTTTGTCTATAACCAACCACACAAGTAAATGGCTACAAATAACAGAACTACATTTTTAAGATTGTTCAAACTTTCCCTTACAAGATGCGGCAAAAAAAGGTATTGAATGATTGCACAGAACATTAAATAAAATATTTGATATGTTCACATATCACAAATTCCAACACATTTCAGTGCTGCAATATTTTATAATCCAACATTTTGTCACCAAAACATTGCCATATCCCAGACTTTTATATTGATCTCCCTTTGTATGAAGGCAAAGACTTACCTGTGTACATTATTGATGTCGGTGTTGACAATGATCAGGTAGCTTGCAACCACCACTGTCAGGATATGAACTGAGTACCTGTAGAAAAGGACAAACCCACACTATGAGAAAATGTGTATCATCACTATTATTTGAATAATACAGTGTTCTTTATTTAAGATTGAAGTGCGACATTATGTTGTATGTCTGTGATATGATAGTGCGTGCCAGTAGAACCTTAACACGTTTCCCCTGAGACATGTTACTCGTGGATCAAATGCGACCACATGTCTCCTGCGTGCTCTTATTGTCTACAGCCTCATTGTCTTCCTATAATTATATGCCTGCAGCACTGGACTTTGCACACATCAGCCCTGTTTATTTATTTGTCAGGAAGGTAGACAATTGGTAGCTGAGATCTGCTCATTGGTCATCTTCTACAGAGACTTAACTGTCACATATTTTACACTTAACACATGTTGGTGATCTAGGCAAGGCACTGGCTCAGTGTATATGAATGAGTGTAACATCATATGAGAGAATATGAATGGAGTACTGCATGGGACAGGTGCCCTACCATCCAAAGCAGAAGATGAGAAAGGCAATGCCAAGGAGAGTGGCCACAGCGTGTCTGACCAGGGGATTGGCATGGCTCGGACTGAGGTAGAGACGAAACCAGAAGGCAGCAGCCAGGGCAAACAACTGGCATGCCAAAAAGTTCACCTGTGTGAGAGAGACAGTGATCAGGATGGGAGTTTAGAGCTGCTCATAACAGTCAACACACCACGTGCTCCTTGTTAAATTACAGGCACATACTGTGTGTGACTGCATGGTAAGGTCATAATAAGTGCTCCCCTCTTGTTTCATCAACTTCAGTGGTATCATATTAATTCTGTAAAGATGTTTAGCTCTGCTGCTATATTTATGAACTGTCAAATGATTGGCTATAAATCTTAAGTAGCCTAATTTTGAAACATTTTGGAGAGAAAAAAAACATCAAAAGTCTCCAATCTATACAATTGTGAACTATGAACTATTGAGAGGACAATATATCTTGGAAAAATGCTCTTTAATTCCACAGAAATATCCCCGTTAGTTTGCGATTTATGGGCAGATGATCCTACCTGATCAAGAGGAAAGCCCAAGTATTCGCTGACTGGCAGCAGCCACTTGGAACCAGTGGTTTTAAACGCAGTGTCCGCCTGCTCGCCCATCCTGCGTAGTTACTCCGTTGCGACGCCTCGGTGTTGCCGGTTGCCTCTTCCCTTCTTCTTTAACTAACAACTTACTATTTTCTCTTACTGAATTACATTGTTTGTCCGAAAGGCTCCGTGACAAGTCGAACCAGTCCACTGTTTGATAGACAGGGCATGGCACTCCCAGCTCTCTCCTCCGCTCCTCCTCTGTCTCAGTACCAGTCAAGTCTGACTGAGACAGAAAGAAAATAAATAGTCTTTCCGGTTATTGCTTCAAAAATAAAAGCCCGGTTGACGAACGTGCAGTTTAAGGTTTTATAGCAGTTAACTGGAAACAGAAAGCAAGATGTCTGTTGGGAGAAAGCTGTTATGCAGCCTTGTTTACCCCACAGTGATTTTGCAGATCTGCAACTATAGAAGGAGACGTTTTATTTATTTTTTTTTTAACTCTCACATAATTATTGATTGTGTGTACTCCTATTTAAAACAAGAGTGCCCTGTGCTTGAGTGCGTAATGTCTATTACAACTAACTATTGTATTGCAATATTCAAAGGGGTTGGGGTTAGGGTTAGAGCCATAAAATAAAAAATAACATAAAAAATAGGCTACATATGAAAGCTACTTGACATTAGTTCCGGTGTTATCTTTCAAGCTTGACGCAACATAAATTTTCAAGGTGGGACCAGAGGACCAGAGGCTGTTTCTGGATGTCTCATTAAACAGATTAACAAAATAGGAACAATTGTTTGAATGAGTGATTGTGACCAAATCTCCGTGGTAAACTATCAGGCCAATTAATGCAGTGTAGAGGTGATTGTCACTGGCATCCTTATTGTCTGTGCGATATGACTTCAAAAAGTTCTGTTTTTGAATTAAAATTGATGATTGGACATGTTTATGTGATTAGTTTAGATGATTAGTTCAAATATGTGAAGTATCCCAATTCTTATTTCAAAACTGGTGAATTAGTATGTGTGTGTTGCAGAGGGTGCTAAGAAAGGTCATTCTGGAAAACAGATGAATGCTCTTTCCTGAGACCATGGCAGTGGCACGGAAAAACTCCTTTTTAACAGGCAGAAACCTTGAGCAGAACCAGGCTCCTTGTGGGCAGCCATCTGCCTCAACAGGTTGGATTGAGAGAGAAAGAGAGAGACAGAGAGAGAAAGAGAGAGAGAGGAGGGGGAAAGGGGGGGGGTTCACAAGTTCCCTGATGTCGATGATTGGGGAAGCTGGGGGTGAGCAGGGGGTCGAGGCGGAGGAAAGAGAGGGTGGATTGTTGTCGGACATCAGAGAGAGGATGTGTCCCAGCAGCACACTAGCCTGTTTAAGAGGAACAAGAGTCAGTATTTTTCCAGAGAGCTCCACCATGGAGACGCCTCCTTTATGCAGCATGGGACTGATAAGCTCAGCAAGGCAGAGCCAGATGTCAGGCAGATCTGCAGCGATGAAGTCTGCAATTTCCAAGGCCTCTCTTGCAGACCTTTAGAGATCTGCCCTGCTGGCAACACTCCTGACTTGTGCAGTTTGAGCAGCAACAGGCCCATATTCCTCTGAATGTTACTGTCTCGAACGTCAAGTCCACTGCAGGCTTGACAAACACATGGAGGACAGAGGGGATGGTTTGCTCTGTCATGTGGTGCAGGGCTTCTTTCACGCATTCCCTGATGGCGATGCTTGGGTAAGCTGGGGGTCAGCAAATGAAACCAATCTCTTTTTTCTTCAGCTGTAGCTGGTTTTCACTTTTGTCTCTCTTGACCCTTGACCAGAGTCAGCTCTGGCTTTTTCATCCACAGTGAGTTCAGGCTGGGCAGGAGAGCCTGAGGCTGCATCCTCGGTCTGAGGGTCTCTGCATCCAGTTTGTCCTGGGGATACAGCACCAGCTGGCTGCAAGGCTCAAGCTGATGATTGGCTGTCAGTGCTCTCACCATTCACTCAAGTTAGATCGAACTCAGACAACCAGTCCGCTGTGTCCTTCAGTATGAGGCAAACCCTGGATGATGTCTTTCCTTCCTTTCTGATGCAAACCATTCTGTCACAGTGAAAATCCATGACCTACCTACCTACCTACCTACCTACCTACCTATCTATCTATCTATCTATCTATCTATCTATCTATCTATCTATCTATCTATCTATCTATCTATCTATCTATCTATCTATCTATCTATCTACCTATCTATCTATCATAATACCACCAAAATAAAAATAGTATATAGCCAACTATTATATTTAAAGGTTATACAGTACATACTGACATTTATCTCATGTGGGTTACTTTAATTGCAATAGGCAAAACGTTATGGCCAGTGTCATGCCTGTAGTATAAGTACTAGAAATAGCCAAATCCTTTACTGATTTAAAAGTAAAAACTCTATAATTGAATAGAAACAAAGCACAAAAAATAAATAAATAAATGTGCAAATGTCTTATACTCTGTATGAAATAGACTAACCAAGGGAATATAGGGCCCCAGAGATCTATGCAGACAACATGATGCAGTAAAACAAACATGATACTGCCACACAGTATTTAAGTTTAAATTAAGATATCTTTTAGGAGAAAAAAAGAGGAGGTTGCATTTTGAATTTTATTTGATCTTTTCAATTTGTATTTAGTATCGTCACTACTTTTTATTCTGCTAGTTTTACCAACTAATAAAATCACAGCAGCCCATTATTTTAGAGGAAGTCAGTATTTAATTCTCAAAGACAACATCATGCTGTCATTCTTACATCCAAGGGCTCACAAAAATCAAGTTAAAAAAGGGTCCTAATATTATGTTAAAGCCTGCAAATTCTACTGGCTACTCCTGCTGTAAACTTTAGAACAGACAAAAATCTTGTGGCATGCATTTACTGCATCAGAAGAAAAATAATAAATACATCAAATAATATCAAACTAAAGTAAAAATATATGGCAAGTAGATTTCAGATTTCAGCGTTTATTAAGTACATAGTCGTGTTTCCTGTTCTGTTTTAGGTTGCCTGATTTACCACTTCATCCGTCTCTTCAGCACAATTGGTCACTTGCGCCACTTAGCGTCCTGTCAGGGAACACGCAAGGCGTGACAGGTGACGTCGCCTGTTTACAACTGCCAATGAACACGTGGCGCGCTGACGACTGACTTATCATTGGCCAATACTGCAGTAAATGGGGTGGGGACTCTTTACTGAAAAACCAATAGCGTCTGGCATGTAAATTCCGTTTGAAAAGTTCCCGGGAAATCTGAGTTTCGCGGGAGGGCTCTTGAGCGCGTAAACCGTATCCCTTCATTCATCAGGCCGCTTCCTGAAGCCATTTCTAGACGGGAGAAACGAGAGTTGCGCTACTTTTTAATCCGTTGCATCTGCCTAAATGCACTTTCATAAAGAAAAATACTTTACAAAAGTCGATGAATCAGACTCTCATCTTTACTTCGGTCTGATTATTTTTGTAACTATTGCCGCGGATTAGCAGCCATACGGGCTTAAAAGTACAGAGACAAGAAAGGGGTTACCCCGAATACGCAAGATGAGAAGAGGGATCTCCTCGGCTCCGGACAAAGTGATTTTAGCGGGGGTTGGGGGCTCTCCTCTGGACAATAATATAATTTTAACAACTCTTTCGGATCGTTTAAACCCTGGACAATCCAACGCTACGTATATCCAAATAATAACCACCTCACCGCCTTGCAACGTTACACAGACATCAAATGTGTGTTTATCCGAGCCTCAGATAAACAACATTTACACAACTCCACAACAAGCTGCAGCAAACGGAGCAGGACAACGACCGGCTCTGGGAAGACCGCCGGTAATAATCTACACAGCTCGTTTGAACACATTTGGCTTGCTACATCTAGCCACAAACACGACAAAATGTTAGCCTGCTAGGTTAGCCGAGCTTGTTGTTCGGGCAGCTAACGTTAGCTACTTAGCCAGTGCATTCCCACGACTCAACCTAGCGAGGTGGCTAACTAACTACCGCTAGCTAAGTTATTCAAGTGGGTTGGTTAAGTGGTTTGTTGACTGTAGGGAAGCAAACCGCGAGTTTAAGTTAGTTTTGCGTTTACAGAAACGCAGACATGTCATCTAATAGCGTGCTATGCTAACTTCATGGCGCTTTTGAGTCTGCTTCACCCTCGCAGGCAGATGGAAATATTGGTAAGAGATGAGTAACGTTAGCGGTGGCCTAGTGGCTGCTGTTAGTGTCTTAATTTGGGGGTTGGGGGATTTGTTGGGCAGCTTGGCTCTTAGCTCATTTTTCGCTTTCTAGCAAGACACGAGTAGCTAAACTTGCAAAGACACGAGGTTATACAATGCTAAAGATTTTCTTCAGCTCTCAAACTACTCGGTAGATATTTCTCCCAGTCGTCTCTGAAGATGCAAGCCAACTTGGATGAAGCTTAAAATGTGTTAGCTTTCTATGCTAGTAGCATTATTGATTATTAGAGGACAACATTACTCGTTGCTGGCCTTGACCTTAATTCTGCACAAATGTCTTGTGTCCTTCTTTTGTAAATAAAGTGTAACGTTATGGTGCCTTTCATGCCAAGTAAAGTGAAACTTGAGTTTGTTGCTTTAGTGCTGATGCACGTTTCCTGTATTCTCAACATGCACAAACCACACAAAATAGTTTCAGCAGCATTCAGGGTGGTGGTTTGTTCCTGGCTATTCATCTTTCATGAACTAAACCAGTCTCTATCTCAGGCTGAAGCCATGACCAGGCAGGGGGGGTGAAGGGAGCTGCTTGCTGATATAAAATGGCTGACATTTTGGCTGTCAACAGAGGGCATATTATTCTTTCTCATACTAGGGCTTGATCAAGTAAAGTATTAGGGACCTGTTTTAATTATGATTTAAATAGTTTATGTTCACTCAGGGTAAATTAACTTCACTCCTAGAGTTTTAGAGGGAAATGGAGTAAACAGCACTCTGGTACTGGGGTGTTGCTCAAAGACACTAAAACAGGGTGGATCGTTGCCAGCACAAAAATCTAAGGGTTCCCTACTCACCGAGCCACTATGCCATGTAATGGTGACAATAACCAGAATGCCAATTCAAGCTGGCAATAGAAAAAGTATGCAGTTTTTCACTGAAACAGAAACAATACATTATCGGTTCAGAAATGGTTATATTAGGTGGCACAACATCTGTAATATAAAGGTTCAGGGATGTTGAACACATTGCTTGAATGGGCTTAAACATGGTGTTAAATATTAAAGTAACAAGGCAGACACATAAGTTTGTAACACTGCTGAAGTCAGGTGATGAAACATACTTGGCCTTTGTCAAGCTAAACTAGTAAACATACAATAAGCTCACAAACGGCTCTTGAGCTTACACTGGTAGCAATAACATTTGGATTTGATTAATGGGTAAGTGGGGTACAGAAAATAACTTGATATTCTTACACAGGAGGTTGGGTTTTCTTTTGAACAATATTTGAAGTGGCCTGCTACGACAGCAAAATGGCTTGACCGTTCCCTCTGCTCATAGGATCATGTGGTCTTTGAGTATACTCTATTTCAGTTTACTCGAATTGGTTTTCTTTGATATTACTGTGCAGTATTGTGATCAGACCCATAGGTGTGACTCACTCTAAAGCCATGTGGTAAAATTAAGTTGGAAAAGAAGAAATCAGTGACTGGTTTTGTGACACATCATCAGATGCAAGGCAAAGTGTATTAAACTGACACAACTTCTTCATGATACTTTGGAGTTTTGATGAAAAACATCTTGTGTCTTGACAGACTATGACGATGTCCTCACAGCTTCACTTAAGATATTCTAAAATAAAATACGAGGTGGTTATCAAAACTAAAATGGAAAAGGCTGTGAAGAACAATGTCCTCTGATTTGGTGAAGTTTGCTGCAGCGAGTTTCCTGTGTTCATCATCAAACAGTTTATAAATGTTTTCTTTCTTTCTTTTATTTCTATTATATTTTTTTTTACATTAGATGGAGGGCGCTGAGGAGAGAAAATCAATGTTATGATGCCTCAGACAACCAAAAACACCAGTATTTTCTCTGAACAGTATCTTTTTCTCCTAGGCAAAAAGGCGATTGGCGCTTGATGATTCAGATCACCAGTACCAGTCAGAACCAGCCAAAACTCCAAGAGGCAGAGGAGCGGCAGCAGCTACCAATGGGGCACGGCTAAAGACACCCAGAAGTAAGAAGCAGAATGCTATAAGGAGCTTTATGACATCCATTCAGTAGTTCAATTCAGTTTCTACCGCAAAAATGGTTGGAGTAGAAATAGAGAACACACATATTCAAAAAGCATGAAAAAGGTTGATTTATCCTCTGCCTACATAAACTGAATTTTTCCATAACATGAAACCCTCCTAACTGCTGCCTAACTAATTCAAAGTATATTATCGGGCTTAATCAGTGCAGAAAAGACAAACCATAAAAGATCCTCTCTGATGTCCCTTAATATTCTGTTTCCTCTCCGCATGTACGTCCTGCACAGTTTATTAAAATAGAATATATCTGGAATTTAGAAAAAGAAACAACGCATGGACATTAGTTGTTGTATTCATGTTGTATAGCCAACCACTTCATTGCAGTAGTGCAATTATATTGTTGATTCCAGCCACAGGATGTTTTGCAGTGAGGCAGGGCGCTGCTGTGGCCCCTGTGCTCCTTTCTTAAATTCTGTAACCCTCTGATGAGAGGAACTGATGCAATCAGCACAGAGCTATTGATAATGAAATACAAGTCCAGCTGGGAAATATAACTTTATGCTTCACGCAAAAATGTTTCCAGCTGGAGATTATTAAACCTGAGGTAAACTTCAACCCACTGCTTGACCTGTAGTGTAGCCTTTGATCCCCTCTTCAATTAAGTCACACCACCCCTAGCAGATTGTGACTGATTGAGTTATTTGCCACCAACATTTCCTGACAGAAAAAACAACCCCAGTTTATTTTTCCAACATTGCAATGTACTTTTGCTATTAAACCTTTAAATGTAGTCCAGGACAAAAACACCACATCAATTTTCCCAAATTGACCACAAAGTTGAGTCTACATTTTTGTGACACAGTCCCGGCACAAAATTTAATATGATCAGCTTCATTCAGATGCATTAACGTCAAGGCAGCTGTGTTGGATTTGTTAAAATTATACTGTTGTACTTATTAATATCTTTCTGACACTTCTGCTGCTGTTGGAAACTTTACTTCTTGATATCTTGGGGGAGATTATGGGAATCCTGTGATCTGATTGTCTCTTTAACATAATTGATGAAGCCACGTTTCTCTTGACTTCCTGTTTTCAAGTAAAACTGTTTCAAGGGATCTTTGAGTCTCAGTTTGGTCGCCAAAATTCAATATCAAGTATAACGCTGAAACACACTGTCCTTCCCCTTGGTTTCTCTGCTCTTGCTACTTTTCCTTCACTATAGCGCCCAAATCTCCACCAGAGAAGACGCGGTATGACACCTCCCTGGGTCTCCTAACAAAAAAGTTTGTGGACCTTCTCGCTCAGTCCTCTGATGGCGTTTTGGACCTCAACCTTGCTGCTGAAACCTTACAGGTATCTTCATCTCTGAATGTATCTGTTCACTGGATTTAAAATGAAAATGAATACTGTCAGAGATTCATTTTTGTGGTTGGTAATTTACGTTGTTAATCTAAAGACCTGTATTCTCTACCTTCAGGTACAGAAAAGGCGGCTGTATGATATAACTAATGTACTAGAAGGCATCCACCTCATCAAGAAGAAGTCAAAGAACAACATTCAGTGGATGTAAGTGGTCGTTCTCTCTCACTTGGTAATGTAAAGTTGTGTGCATGTATTGTTACTGCAGTTTGAAGTCTCAGAAAATTTGTGGGTTTATCTTGGGTTGATGTAGCAAAAGTGTGTTTTGCCAGTAAACAGGTTCAAGGTGTTCCTTTGCCTGCACAGGAAGGCAGGTGGCTGCATGCAAGCTGTTACCACATCCAAGTATGATGATACCTGACTGTGCCACACAGTGCAAACATTTAATCACATCATCATTCATTAATTACAACTTCAGGCCTATGAGTGCATTCATGAATTATTTTTCCCCAGTGTTTTTATGAGGATATGTTGTATCTCTCTTTCCTTTCAGTTAAGATTTTGATGTTTTTGGCCCAAGTTTAGATTTTTCAAAAATAAATTCACTCCATATATCAGTCACTTAACTTGGAGGAGTCCACAGATGAATAATTGTGTTCATCTAGCACAGAATAACTGTGAAATGAGAAAGAATTTAGCACTTTTTATGAAAGACAAAACATTTTCAGTACTTTGACTTCATTGTGGCCATTTATAGTCCACTTGTCTCTTACAGGGAGGGTAGCCTAGGAACTGGGGTTCCTAGAGAAACCTTATTATTATACCTTATTGTTTTATATTTTTGCCAGTTAAAAATGCAGTTTTCAAGTACAATCCAATATTTTTTAATCCGACTATCCTCTGCAATATCTGCTCACAGGGAAGATATTGCTTAAGTATTGAACGTAAATCTGTGGTACACCAACTCAACCGACAAGGACAAGTAAAGGAAAACTGAGATTAGACACTTTTTTGCACTGTTGAAGCTATTGTACCAAATACTAAATCTGTTTAATTCACTCTCTTCAATCCTCTCTCACCCAGGGGCTGTAGTCTGTTAGAGGTAGAGGGAGCATTGAGCCAGAGACAAAGACTGGCAGCGGAAGTTTCTGCGCTGGGAGAAGAGGAGCAGAGGCTTGAACAACTTATCCAGAGATGCAGCCTGGATATGAGATACATGAGCGAGTTGCCAAGCAACCAGAAATATCCTTTTGCTGTTGGTGACATGTCATCCAAAAGTAAAAATGATTCCTAGCTACCTTCAGTGTTAAAACAACCTGTAACTATGTTCTCATAATTCTACAGGTAAACATAGCTAAATTGATGTCAGTGTGAAATTGTTTGTATGGTCAGGCTTATTCTTGGCTCACGGTGAGTTAATGGTAATATGTCAACAGTGACATACTGAACGGAGTTTTTAAAAATGATCAAAATCAGTCTAAAAAACTTCAGATCAGATTCTAATCAGAGGTGCAAGGCTTCATCTTTCAACTCTTTCTTTAGAGAACACCGTTTAGGACTTTTGATTTTGATTTTTACCAATCATCCTATCTGTCACACGTATGCTGTATAAAGCAAATTTTTTTACATTATAGTGTCTAAAATGTTAGCTAACTCATCTAGTTTACAACACCGGCATGTGCAGAGCCATGGTATTGCAATCACGTTAGCAGTTTAGATGTTTGTCATCACGTAATGAGCTTTTTCAGGCTTGCATACACATGTTTAGTTTAGTATTAACATGTACGGACATTGTGGTGTTATTTCTTTAACCACTTCTTCTTCACATATGCCTATGTGACATACCAAGACATCAAACAGCTGGGAAACCTCAGAGACCAGACTGTTATAGTCGTCAAAGCGCCCACAGACACCAAACTAGAAGTGCCAGACCCCGATGAGGTATGTATACACGCACAAACGCATTGCCAACATAGACTGGACTTATTGTTGTTGTCTAGATGAAACTTCTGCTTCTTGCTCACTTATTCACTTCATCTGTCCCATGACTTGTATTTCATTTACAGAAAAACAGTTGGACATTTGGGGAAAATTGACTTTTTCTCCTCTTACCCAAACAATATTTGTATGAGTTTCAATTCTGTGATGTGTCTGGGACATGCTACTCATGAATAATAATCCTGTCTGAATGGGGTTTACAACAAAGTCAGACACCTGCTTCTCCCTGCTTGCAATCTTTATACTAAGCAGACTTAACCCTGTGTTGTGGTTTCTAAATAAAAAAAGAATTGACCACTTCACAGAACATGTGCAGTGTGTGAACTTAAGGCGTATACATAATTTCTTCTGACATTCGTGCACCAGGTTTGGAAGTTGCGGGCAGTTCAGTTCACCCTCCTAGAGTTGGTGTTGCTTATTGATTTTTACCAAACATTTGGGGATGACATCTCAGTAACTAAAGGTGTTTCATGGTGTATAGCAGTATTTGCATCAATTTGTACTTGAGTGTCAGTTTTGCGTATATACCTCAGTGGAACCGTCTGGAAAGGAGACTTGCAGTTTTAAAAAAAGATATTTCCATCCATCAAGTGCAGTTCTGTTAGTGTTCTGATCTGAACTTATTGAGCTCATTTTTTTATTCCAGAGTTTGTCCATCCATCTGACCAGCACCAAAGGTCCCATAGAAGTCCTGCTGTGCCCAGATGAGGAGAATGACCCCAGGAGTCCTGTAAAAAATGGAAACACAGATATCAACGGGAACTCTCCTTTCCTCAAAGTCCTTCAAGGTTTGTTTGAGATAAGCATAGGTGTTACAGTTTTTAACATGTATTTGACTTCCCTTCATCTATCTCTTTAAAAATAAAGAAACAATTTGGTCATGGCTTACATTTATATGTATTTTAAGGCATATCATTTTAACAGACTTATGGTAAGCATGTTACAGCTGAGTAAAGCTGAGACTGATGGGGATATGATCTTTGGTTTGGGATTGCTGTATCTTGTCATGGGCAACACAACACTTTGGACATGCAGAAAAATTAACCTTCTGGCGGTACTAGAAGAAAGTTTGGGGATTTGTTAGTTGTCATCATCTGGTCTGTTCCAAATTTATTGACAGACTGAGCATCTATTAATGTGGCTGTCAAGGTGTAAGAATTTTTCTGACCCCAGTACAAATACAAAGATCTACAGTGTTGGGACAGTTGTCTGATTGTCTGATCAGTCTTGCTGATGGGTATTTGTTCTTAACTAGTATGGACAATAATATGAAAAAAGATGAGAGTTTACTGCGCAATGCTTTGTTAAACTAGCACTAGAATAAGATTTGTTTTGACTCACTTGTTTCCAGTTTCCAACTCTAACCTGGCTGATAAACATTTAACCCAAACTGTTTTTATAAACAACTTGCTTGTATCCATGCAACTGTTGGTTCAAAGCCCTGATTCATGGTACAATCAAAGTCAACTGTGATAAGATCCAGAAAGGTAATTTTGATCAAAGTTGAAGTATGGTCTCGAGTGCAATAAGCACTCTAACACCGATCAAAATAGCCACTCAGTTAGCCTACAACTGTCTCTTGGCCATGTAGAGATAATGACTAGTTGATTCCATTTTCTTTCACAGATCCCAGCTGCACGACCGCCTCTCCCAGCCCCGCAGTGGCTCCACCTTCCTCCTCCTCCTCAGCTGTCTCCGTTACTACTCTCTCCCCCATTTCGTCCCCTTTCACCAGTCTTCTCCAGCAGACGGACGACCAGATCCCTTCGTCCTTGGGGCCTTTCTTAAACCTCGGGCCTCCTCTTCTGGAAGATGACTACCTTTTAGGTTTGGGAGATGACCAGGGAATCAGCGATTTGTTTGAGGCCTATGACTTTGATAAAATGCCCTCCAGCCTGGATGACCTCCTGTGCAGCTAGCATTAGCTAACAGAAATTCTGATTAAACGCATGGGAGAGAGATGGAGAATCAGTGAGGGGTTTTGATGCCCATGACTGTCTGTGTATTTAGTAGAAGCCAATTTTAAATAGATGGAGGGGAAACATTGAGGGCTTTTTTTCAGTCCCAGTGGGACTAAATGCCATGTTCTTACATGGTGTGAGAATTGAATGGCCTTGAATGATTCACATAAAGACACGACTGGTCAATGTGCAGACATATCCATTACTCCTTGTCTCAGGCTATGGAAGGCCTTCAGTGTAGCTGAGTATTGGGGGAACATCTGAAAGCCTTTGCTGTCTGTTTGGTTAAGTATAACGGTGAGGGGAAGGATATCCACCTCTTTGAATCAGGCTAAGGTCACATCACCGTACAGAGAACAGCTCGAAAATACCCCCACATCACATGGCATTAACACACATCCTGGGTGGTTGGGTTTAGCATAAAATTAAAGTGTAAACGCAACTGAGCTGCACAGATATGATCAACAGAAACCATCGGTAGAAAGCTCAAGAGCAGGGAAGAGGAACATTGTTTACTGTTAAATCTTGAAGGATGCTGAAAATATGAAGATTTAACATGCCTGAAAATCTGTGTTTTGGCAAAGAGAGAATAAGTTCATCTCTGTTCCCAGTGATGCACTTCCTTGTCAGTTGTCCAAATTCATCCAGCTAATCCATTCTGAGACATATCCACAACTGTAAGATGTGTTAATGCCAAGTGTTTTGGGGGCAGAGGAGATCCTGAAGAATTCTTAATGGTTGCATTCTATTACACCAGTCATCTGTGATTGAATGCCCATACTGCTGACTGTTAAGTAGACATTTTTCTGTGATCAAATGTAGAGCATTTTAGAAATTAAAGTAAATATAAAACACAGGGGAATTTTGGTGCACACCATCCATGGCAGTTACAGTTGGGTTAGGTAGGCTGAGACTTTGGTCGCCTATCTTGTGCCTGTGCCTGCTCAGACACCTGTCAGGTTATCTATTGTATATTTGGGCTTCTAATTATGAAATTACAAGAGTATGAGTATTTTGTACATTTAAGCACTATTGAGATGTATTGAGAGTGGCATGAATGACTGCTTTTGGTGTGCCCCCGAGTTGATTTAAAGCAAACTGCAAAATGACAATTGAAAATAATAGGAGTGTGTACTCTGAATGCTCTTAGGCATACAGTCTTTTTTGCCTGTCCACCTGATCTGTCTGTCATCTACTGATCAATTGGGCAACCTCATATTTTGTACAGTGCAATGACAAATGCAAAAAATGCTCAAAAGTTATGTCTAACCTTACATAACCCAGAAATTTGTGTTTTGTTGCTAACAGAACCCAGAAAAGCCATCACTCCTGGGTAATGTGGGGTTAAGCAAAAACACCTGATGTACCTGTATGAATCTGGCCTGTTAGGACATAAGATGTGCAAACTTGAAAATAATCTCCTACTCTTATTGATCCTCTGTGAATTCAGGACTGAAACTCCCTCTTTCTTGCTGCTTTTCACCTCTCCCTTCCATTGTCGTCAGCAGAAGCTGCCATAACAAAACTTCCCATAATGCCTCCTCAGTTAGACTGTGTGCTGTGAAATTATACTGTGGTTTGAGCTTATCAGAAAAATATGACTTTGAACCACTTAATGCACGCTGCCTACTCAGTGTGTACTGAAAGCAGTGTAGGAGACAGGATAGGTGAGTATTAGGCTTTTTAGGTTTAATAAATGTTGAATTTTAATGGATTTTAATACTGTAGAATAACTAATGATATCATGGTCACCTAAGCAACAAAGAACCAGATAGCCACTAATTGAGGCTGCAGCATGTAATGAAGGGCTTATTTTCTGCCATAACAGAATATTGAAAAAAAAAAAAAAAAGAATAAAAAAAAAAAAAGAAACTTTTGTAAGTTAAGCAAATTCAGTGCAACCGAGTCTTGGTGTCGTGTTGTCTAGGGCCACTGAATCTTAAAACAGTGGTTAATCAAGAAAAGCTTGAGGACTTGGTGATCTAAGCTGTAGGGATGTGAATTTGAAACACTATTGCTATTCATTTGTAATAGGTTCTTGTGTTTGATTACGTCCCTGATAATAACAGAAAGCAAACATCTTGTCTGAAACCCTAGCTTTTAAACTAGAAAACCTGCGGCTGCAGGAAATATTGCTGCTGCTAGTGTTAACTTCTCCCCGACCTGATTGATATGCGCTTGAGTAATTGCGTGTGCAGCATGTGTGAGTTAATGTCAAAGATCAAGCTTGCTAAAGAGTAAGCCTGCCATGTGTAAATTGATGTACAGTTTTCTAAATTTTTCAGTGCACAAGGTACTGTAGGCTACCTCTCACTTAATGTTTGACAATAGTAATAGGGCGTAGAGGTAAATGCCATAGTGTGTATGGGTCTTTGAATTCCCCTTTGTCATAGAAATTACCCTTACATTATTTAGATGTGATATTGAATATTACATCGCACTTGTGTCTTTTGAGGTGAGCGAGATTCCACTCAGTCCCAGTGTCATGTTGTCACATGTTAAATTTGAATACTGGGGTGCACATTTGATGGACAGTTAAACGGACAAATGTATTGCAATATTTTTTCGAATTTGTCTTTTTTTTTTCCATAAGTTATTTAGTTTTTTGTCAGTGTTTTTGTTAAATGCAGAGCATCTCTTAAACCCAAAAACTAGTACACATTCAAAGTTAGCTTATCATAATTTTTCTGGTCATTAGGAGACTACCTGCATGTCTGCGTATGCCACTGAACCTCCATCAGTGACTTGGTTGTCCTCTGCTGAAGTGTGTAGGGAGCTTTGCTTCTGTGACACTGTGTGTCCGTTTTAGTTTTGGAATGATGTGAGGGAGTCATTGACACTTTTTTGCATTTCTGCTACTTTCACTTTCACAGAGAGTTTTGAATCCTGTTAAAATGGTATTTTCACTTCATAAATTAAAAACGCTATTATTAACCTGACCCTCACCTATTCAGTTGAGGAGAAAAATACTGATACAGTTTCTGAGTCAGCAGAACTTAACTTAATTGCGCCACTAATTGAATGAAATTTGACAAACGCACAGAAATGCTCTGATTCACAAAACACAATTTCCCTATAGGCATATTTATATCATTGTATTTTATATGTATTTATGGAAAGGTCAAGCTCAATTTTTTTCCCAATTTGATTCTCTAACTAGTTGTGCTATTTTCTAAGTCCATTTACATAGGTAATTACATTTTCCTCCATCTATTATAAGCGACCAGAATCTGGTCACAATATTTTATCCACTTTTATGTGATGGAAACATGAATTTTGGAAAGATTGTACCTTTCCATCAGTTTCTAATGGAATGTTAAAGATTGTAATGCACTGCTAATGCTAGTTAGCCAGTGAGACTGTAAATGTATTATGGGTGACTCTTAAAATTACAGCTCCTTCATTTCTGATGTGTGATTCTGATGTGTGATTAGACCTTGCAGAAAGTTATCATTAGGCTAAATGTGGTGTTAACTATAGTCAAGATTGAAACAGCACTGTTTTCCTGCTATTTTCCTATGGTTATTCTTAAGCTGTTACCAAATACAATATATTGATCCGTAAATATTCTGTAATGGTTATGTGAAAAGTTAACTATTTGATTGGATCGAATTGACTGTACAAGTATGATATTGATGCCTGTTTCCATTAATTACAGAGAAAAAAAAAGCTGTAATATCACATTACCTTCTTTTTGCAATTTGAACTCATGGTTGAAAGTATCTGTGTGCTGTTGAATGTTAAAGGTAAACTAATTCGATGTTTTTGATGTGTGTTACTCAGTTATATACTGTTTCTTTAACATCTGTTAAATGAGGAATTTGAGTTGTATTTGTTTGGTGGGTGGGGGGTGGGCAAATGGATTTGTTTTGTACTTTGGGCGTTTGTAATTGAAAATTTGAATAAAGACAATATAAATAAGAAAATGATTTGTTAAAATTTTGTTTATGATTTGTCTTAAGGGATTACTTTGCATTGTAATGTTAAGTACAAACGGAAAAAAGCCTGGAAACATATTGGTTGGCTGTACTGCTGTCTGCTAAAATATAAAATCAGCAAAAAAGCAAGCCCATGTTTTGACTTATCCATATATCGCTTTGTGTCATGCTTACTTAAGTGACATGCTACAAATTATATGAAACAAAATTATCCATAATTCACCCCCTGTATGTGCACACGCGTCTAGTTTGTCCCTCTTTGCCTACCGTATCCACGCACAAGTATGGCGGTCTGAGTTGTGACAGCTATGTTTTGATGGTGTAAATAATACTTGTTTCCATTTTCAAAACAAACGTTCCTTGGAATTTGCATTTATCTAAATCAATAACCACATTGCGACCAAGGTAAGGGACATTTACACTATCTTAAGGCGTCTTCCAGTCCAAAATATGATGCACGTGGGTAGTAGCTAGCTAATCAGGCTAGCCAAGCTAACAGCTAGCATGGCAATGATACTCAACAAAATCAAACTCCAGGATGATAGCTATCTGTCAAATCAAATATTTTCAGGTGTTTCTAGTTTTTATCAGTCAACGTTAGCTATTGTAAGTCACCTAGCGTGTGTATGCAGTTAGTTTATAGGTGAAAGTTGGGTGAAAATAATGAAAACACTAGCTGGGTATGATAATATAACTTGCACATGGCTAGTTAACGTGAGTTAACGCAAATGTTACTTATATTTATGTTGTTTGATTTATTTATAGCTATCATTAACCGCAGCAGCTAAGATGTGAGGGTATGTTTTGGGTGTCGCTATTTATTTTCAAACATCTACACGACAAACCTTGCAAGTAGCTATGGTTTTCAGTTGCGTTTGTCTTCACTATGTCAACGTTTGTCTTCACTATATTAACATACGTCTACCAAAGTAATTGGATGCATATTAACGTCTCAAAAGTTGAGATGTTTGACCTAATTACTTGGCTATTTCTGGCATCCACTAATCAAATTCTTACTGCCAAATACATGAAGCTTGATAGCCTTTTTTTGTGGCTTATTGCCAACAAAAGCTGAATTAAGCTGAAAAATAAAATATATTTCTGCACTGTAGTTAAAGTAAGGAAACGTAGAGGAATGAGAAAGCTCTTAGTGAGAGAGATAAGAAAAGACAAAACAAAGCATTTGATGACATTACCTAGGTCTTCAGAAAACTGGTAATCATTTTGTGATGTTGTTTTATAGACCAAATGACTAATTAATCAAGATAATAATTGGCAGATTAATCAATAATAATTATTGGTTGCTGGCTACTGAATATCCCATCCTTGCTTTACGTAGTATCTTTTCATCAATACTGCTCCTAGCTAGTCTGAGCTTACATTTACAAGACGTTTAACTATTGTATTATTTGTTTCACCTGCAATATTGTTTGTAATTTGATCTTTGCCAAGCTTTTCAACATTCATGCTTACCTTCAGAAATTCACTAGCCCTGTCATACTCTTTGCCTACTGCCCAGAGTTTTACATAAAATAAATGATAAACAATGAACTTTAGACAGTTATTTATTCCTGTAAGTAATTACAAATGTAATTATTACCTATATTTTATTAAAAAAAATAATTTTATCACATTACCATGCTTGATTTAATAACTGGTTGTCAAGTCTTTCTTAACATCCATTTTTGTTAAGCATTGTCTTGACTACTTACAGGTCTCAACTGTATGATAGACGAGAGTAATGCTGTGCTAACCAAAGCTCTGTCTGATTTTTAGACCATCATGCCGTCCAGCTGTGACTCTCTGATTGAAGACATAGAAGACATGGTGTCCTCTAGTGACCCCACTCCTCATGAGAGACAGTCTGCTAGAAAGAGTATCATACCAAGGTCCAGGAAGAAAAAAGAACTTTTGATCAATGAGGAACTCCAAGCTGACAGGTAGGTTAAATGTCTGATGTAGTGGTACAGTAATTGATAGTATGAAGTAGTTGATTGTGATATTGCTTCAGTATACAGTTTGTTTTAGGCTGATGATGTAAATATTGTGGCATTTTTACATGTCATAGATGGAAAAGCACAGATGTAATTGATAACAACAGATAAAAATCAGTATTCCATTTAGGTGAGCTACTTCCACGGTTCTGATATTACTATGACAGGTCAAAATGTCTGTTGTCTGCCAGAGTTCAGATAACTGCTGATTTTGCACCAGTCTGTCTTAATTTGAGCTTTTCAGTAACTCAAACAGACTGTGATACATGTGGTGGATATATTGACTGTAATATTTCAACATTTGTTTATTTACTCAGAATAAAATGTGAAACAAATAAAAGGTACATACAAATGATGTCATGTTTAAAATGTGATAAATTTAGTTTTAGTTAGTTCTGAAAGTAAAACATCATAAAACTTCCTTTTTGCAATTGTGCTATGTGCAGCTTGTTGTATGTGGATTTTTTTATTTGGAAAACAAAGACAGTAAATTCACTTTTACACTTTTATACATTGTCACCTTATAGTTCTGGTCCGTTTCATGTTCACACAGATTTGTTACAAATGAACCAAGATGTGTAAACATGAGGCTATATGGACTGAGAGAGAACTCATTCATTGGACTGTTACGTTGACTGTCATCCTGTATCATAAGTGCTACATGGATTTGTGGGAAAAAACAGATTCCAGCTGCACAGCCAGCAAGTCATGCAACATTTTACTGCACTGTGCTTATATTGAACTTATTTGGTAACATAAAGACCTCATGGAGGAACAACTGACTGATTGTTAGCCTGTTAATTGATATTGCCATTGGATATCTTATGTCATGAGTAATGAGAGACAGGTAAAACAGGACAAAAAAAGGCACGTGAAAGTAATATTACAGGGAGATACATTTCACTAGACCACAAAGTGTGGGACACAAGCTCACCACACCTCTGCTTTAACTCCTTTTCGCTTTCTAATGTATCATATCATATCATATCATATCATATCATATCATATCATATCATATCATATCATATCATCTTATATCATCTTATATCATATCATATATCTTATATCAATAAGTCCTGTGATTTGTCTGCCTTGCTTTCACACCCCAAAGAACCACACCAGTCTGCACCAAGTCCTTACTAGTCCACATTTTGATCAGGTTTTATGGCAGATTTATAGTAATTAATAATTTAGATATTGATTGTATCATTTCCACACTTAATATAAAAAAGACATATTTCATTGTTGTTGATTTGTAGTTTGATCCCTGGCACCCAAAAGATCTGGATGAGAACGTGGGGCTGCAGTCATAACAACTCAGATGGAGAGTACATGGCTGGGCAGCTGGCTGCCAGCGGATACAAGATGACTGGTAAGAAATTTTTTAATTGTGGTGGTTGGTATTAAGTCAAGTGACTGGAAGTCAGTGGAATAAGGAAAATAGTTAATAAGATAATAAAAGGTTAAAAAATTTTAGGTTAAAAGATTTTTATTGACTTTTTATTATTTTTGGTATCTTATTTTATCTTAGGTGTTTATACAACTGATGCCATTACAATTTGTAAACACAAGGGGGCACTATTGCTTTAAAAATAAGCTTTATCTTGTGTGTTATTCCAGTGGTTGACTTAATTTTTCCCTGAATTGAGCTTTATAGGCTGTGTACTGACTTCAACAAACTCAACCAAACAATATTTGGTTAGAAATGGTTAATATAAGGATTTGGACCATGTTTAGAGTCTGCCAATCTTTAAGCACATGGTGGAATTTGTCCTTCTGTTAAGAGGAAAGTCTGCAAATGAGTCTTAACTTAGGTTCAAGAGGTTCCCTGAGAGCTGGCCTAACCTGGTGTCTTTCTCAGAACTTAATTGGGGAGTGCATTGGTGATGGCAGTTAAGAAAGGGCACACTGATACCGTGGGATGCTTTTTAGTTGAGTGTTACGTCTAGAAACAAAACAGAGCACTGTGACTGCATGTCTCCATGGCTTATAGGCATTTTAAATAGAATCTGATGTAAATATGTGACATTCACTGGTAGCGTTGGTATATAAGGACCATATATGTTTTAGCTTTTATAATTTGTGATGAAGGATAAGGGATGCAAGTGCTAATATACTTGTCAAAAACAAGGTCCAGGGTCATTTAGACTGACACAAATGTTTTATTGGCAGGAACCTTGAGTTTGTTTTAGGTGCATGTTTGAAGGGTTCCTTGTAAAACACAAATTGTCCCACTGTTAGATTAAGTGAACACTGCTTTTTTTAATATAAATATCAAAAGGGAGGAAATCTGCTCTCTTAAGTCATAACAGTCAAAGCGTATTACTTCTTAAGAAATCTGACATGTTTTTAACTGAAGATATGACAACTTTCAAAATATTGAGTTCTCCTTTGTGTTATATATAATTATTGTTATTATTAGTAGCAGTACTAGCGGCAGTAGTAGTAGTTTTAGAGTTGAAATATTATATTGCATCTTTGGGTTGTAATAATCAGACTTGAGATTTTTTCAGAGATAGAAGAAGAGAGTTAATATTGACTCCTCAGGCATTTCTCTCACTGTGGGGTCTCACAGCCAAAGAAGGACATTAATCACACATTTCATGTCTGCAGATCTGCGCGCACACACACACACACACGCACACGCACACAAACGGCACAATTTACCCATAAACATAGGCCAACGGTTTTCCCTCTTATCTGGTGGTTTAGAGCCTTGATCTCTTTATCTCTTCCACCTTTCTTTGTTTTCACAGTTTTTTTTCTCTCTGTCCCTTGAGTTCCTCTCTGAAATAACGTGTCTCCCTCTCTCACACTCTCTTTTCACTTCGTTGTCTCTCACCCACTTGATTCAGTGGCATATCCTGTGTTAAATCATCTGCTAAGACTTGATATTTAGTGTGCTAATTGTATTGCCGTAGATC